CAGAAACCTCAAGCACCTGGTAGAGCTCCAGCTGATATTTGTTGGATTACTAATTGGCAGCTGCATTTTAATTTTCCATAAGGTCACCAACAAGGCCCCCCCTCTGGAGGGTTGTGGGAAATTTAAATGGTAGTTCTCTAGCATTCATCTGCAGATGATGCAGTAAAAGAGGCAATCGAGGACACTGAGGACCAAAATGATATCACCAATGCCAGGGGTGAAATCCAGTAGGTTCTGATGGGTTCTGGAGAACCAGTTACGGAAATTTTGAGCAGTTCGGAGAATCGGTAGCAGAAATTTGGAGTAGTTGGAAAACCGGCAAATACCAACTCTGGCTGGCCCCAGACTGGGATAGGAATGGAGATTTTGCAATATCCTTCCCCCAGGAGTGGGGAGGGAATGGGGATTTTGCAGTATCCTTCCCCTGCCATGCCCACCAAGCCACACCCACCAAGCCACGCCCACAGAACCGGTAGTAAAAAAATTTGGATTTCACCACTGACCAATGCCCTGAAATCTATCACCAATTATTAGACAGTTGCAAGCCCTCTATTGGGGGGTAATTATCCAATTTAATACTAAGCAAATAGTGCTTAGTGGGCCTTTTCTAGAGCCTGATTTGATGCCCTCCCATCAGCTCTACCCCACGGAAGATTTCATGGGACCCCTGATTCACAGAGATTTGCCCCCTCCAGGAAGGTAGAAACTCTCACGCATGTCCTCATATTGTGCCCTTTCTATAGTGCACCAAGACATGCCCTGATTGCCCCAATCAATTTCCAAATACGAGGGCCATGCAGATAAATTTTACATTTATTATTTTTTAAGAGACGCTAGCCCTACACACATATATTAGGTGGTTAAATGTTTTTGCCAAGTTACAAACCTGTGCAAAATTTTTAATTAGACATGCTGCTTTACTGTCCTATTATTTTTTCCCCTTCCCTAATATCTAATTGCTGTATTAAACTATTTTCTTTTTATTGTAACCTTTTATTGTAAAGGCTGGTCAAAGGCCATAATAAAGTTATTTGATTTGATTTGCTGCTGCTACTGCTGCTGCTGCTACAGCTCATAACCTGTTTTCAAGTGCCTGTTATCAACTTTTAGACTTAGGGAGAAATTAAATCATTTCCCTATAAATTCTGCTTCTATTCATCTGTTGATGATTCAGTTAAGGAGGAGCTAAAGATGTAGATATATTCACAGGGCTTTTTAAAATAATTCACATAGTTCAAGACTTTAATACTTAAAAACAGATTCAGATCCCGATTACAGTGAATTTGGGCAAAAATTAAGCCTTTATCACATTTTGAAATATTATTCCTTAGTTACTAAACATATACACACACATTTTCAAAAGAAATCAGTTATTCTGATCAGTAAGCACTATTCTTCTTTACCATTAGTACGTTTGATGAAATGGATTTGATCACACTACGCAATGGCAGAATTTTCTAGAAGGGCACTGCTCTTGCTACCATGTAACATATTCAGTTGGGTCAACACTGTTCCAGAAATTTCCCTTTTGCAGCTCCAAAAGCTTTCCAGAATAGGTGGGAATGAGTTTTTCCGATTTCTATTTTTCTTTTTTGTATTTTGCAATGAGAGGAGTATGCTTTTTAAATAACATAACAGGTACCTTAAATTTTTGCAAAAGCTTAAGACACCAATTGCAATCCTTTGCCCTCTCCAAACTGGCTGATTTTATAATCAACTATGCACCTTAATTATTTTATTAATAGTAGTACATTAAATTTCCTTTTCCATGCCTTTTTTCTGTGAAGGCTTAGGCAACCATATTAATTGCTTCATGTTGAACACCAGAAAGATAATTTTAAGCTAATCTCTCTCTCTCTCCCTCCCAATGTTTCTTGTCCCCCTATTCCTCCCCCCCCCCTAATCTTCCCTGAATCTTCTGTTTGGTTTTTAAAATGCCTCCGAAGTAAAGAAGGGTGGGAGTGAGCTCTCAACCTGATCCCTTGGCTGTCTGGGAGAATCAGAATTTTTGCCTTTGGGAACCCTAGCTGAAACAATAAACACTAGAAATGTCATTACCACATGTGAAAGCCAAAGAAAACACTAAAGGAAGAAAAAGCTATTGTAATACTTTTAAAGAATAAAAAAGTTCCTCTAATGGAATGTGTGAATGACTTTGAGGAGTGAGAGAAAGAGATACTGTCTGGGAAACAATCAGATGAGAGAAGGGGGAGCCCCCAAATGTTTAATAGTCAGAGGAAAGGCCTATCTTAATGGAGCAGTTAAAAGTGGCAACGGGAAATATCATCAGACTTCCAAGACTCTATTAATGTAGTGTTACAAAAATGTGGAGTCAGCTTAGGTTTATCCTGGATGGCTAACAGCTATTGTAGTGACTAAATTTGAGGAATAGCAAATGGCGGCAACTGGTTAACCATGTCTGTACTCAGAAGCTATGGAGGATCAAGCCTGCTTAGTATTGGATGGAGTATAATATGCTCAGTTCTTTATAATCAAGTCTGTTAATTCAAAGGTAATAGTTTCCCCTGTCCAGATGTGTCCGACTCTAGGAAGTGTTGCTCTTTTCTGTTTCTTAGTTGAGGGAGTCATGGAAGATGCTTCTGTGGTCACGTAGCCAGCATGACTATATGTTGAGGTGCACAGAATGCTATTACCTTTCCACTGAAGTGGTACTTATTTACCTATTCATATTTGCATGCTTTCGAACTGCTAGGTGGGTAGAAGCTGAGGCAAGTAACAGGAACTCACCCCATTGCACAGTGCTCAGCGCTTGAACCTGGACTGTCAGCTTTCCAACTAATAAGCTCAGTGTCTTTAACTGCCAAGCCATCGTAGTCCCGTCAGCCTGTTAATATTCAAAATACACCTCCAGGTTCTTAAAGTAATTTAAAATCTTTGCTTTTTCCAAATGTTCTTGCACTAGGTGGGGTGAGGTGCTTTTCAGTGTAGCCGTTCCTCTCCCAGTTATTGCTGAGCTTCAGGCAAACTCCAAGCTCCAGACAGGATTTCCACCAGTATATGGCTTTCATCATACCTTGTGGTCGTGGCACTTGAGTGAAAATCCTCTTGCCTGCTTTTGATAGCTGCCAATCCACAGAGCAAATGTCATCTCTACTTCTTCATCTGTAGGCCATTTGCTTTTATTTTTCTTGTTACACACATCTTTTGCTCACTCTTTCTTAGCATTTGTTTTTCTAAACTCAAGACTGGGTGGGGTGAAGTTGCCTCTGGCTGTCAGACCCGTCAAAACACCAGGGTGTGGCTCAATTAGCACAGGCGGCTGCAACATCAGCTGGCATGCCTGTGAGTAAATTTATGAGTGCATGTCTCAGTGCCTGAGGGAAGTGTGGGGGCAGGGCTTCTGCCGGCTGCAGCTGATTTTCCGAAACACAGGCAGCAACATGGTTGTGTCCGTGTACCGGTAGTTACCCAGGGCCAAACTTTATCTTTTTTAAAATCATGTGTTTTATTGAAGTTTGTTTTAACATAAAATATAATGAAAACAAGGATTAAGAAAAAAAAGAGAGAGATGCAGGATTTTTTTTTAAAAAAAGGAGAAAAGAGAAAAGTGTTGAGTTCCCATTCTTTCTAAAACAGTAAAAAACTAATTTACAACTTCAACTTTTTACATTACCTATAATTAGTACAAGCCAGCTCTGTAACTACACAATTATAAACCTTCAAACTAGATTTTAAATTTCAATTTTTTTCCTATGGTAAGCATAAAAACCAGAAGCAATATCCCAGTAGTAAAGGTAAAGGTAAATGGTCCCCTCGCACATATGTGCTAATTGTTCCCGACCCTAGGGGCTGGTGCTCATCTCCGTTTAAAAGCTGAAGAGCCAGTGCTGTCCGAAGATGTCTCCGTGGTCATGTGGCCAGCATGACTAAATGCCAAAGGCTCAAGGAATGCTGTTACCTTCCCACCAAAGATGGTCCCTTTTTTTCTACTTGCATTTTTTACATGCTTTCGAACTGCTAGATTGGCAGAAGCTGGGACAAGTAACGGGAACTCACCTCGCTATGCAGCATTAGGGATTTGAACTGCTGAACTGCCGGCCTTTCAATCAACAAGCTGAGCGTCTTAGCCACTGAGCCACGGCGTTCCCATATCCCAGTAGAAACAAGACCAATAAAATCTCTTTGTTTAAAACAGTTGACATTGTCATCTTAACCAAATCCAAGGACCAAGATATATTTGAAGACAATATTATTTTTGAAAAAGTAGAAACACTGCCCATCACCACCTACAGATTATGAAGCTCAAGCCTGTGCCCCTTGGATGTATTGGCTGTGAAATTCTAAGAGTTGTAGCTTTAATACATTTCAAAGAATCAAGGTTGGGGAAGTTAAAGCATAACCAACTATTGGCAGGTTCATAGATCATGTTTAGTGGTGTCATATGGCCATAGCTATGGGTCTTGCAGTCAAGAACTCTCACCCCATCTCATGTTGTCTTACACTTATTTTCAATGCAAAATACTGAAACTCCAGAAGCATTCAGAAGTACTGATATCTGATTATGGGGGAGGAAACATTGGAATGTGTTCAAGGAGTGCAGAAAGAAAAAGGTGATAGAAAGAAGAATCTAAAATGGTGGAGTGCCCAAGAGAGGGCATGGGGCCCATTAAAGGACATTTTCTCAAGTCTCCCCCTTGTGACCACAAGCCAATCCCATTTGTAGCTACCCAGCATTCTGAAATCACCTGCTGACATTCAGTGGGAAAATGGCTGCAAAGTAAATTGTGTATATCAACTCATTCCTAGAATGTGAATATTCATTCTGATAACCTTTCTCTGAAAAGCAACAAAAACTTCCTTTTGTGCCATCCATGGCTGTGTAGATAATACACAGAGGACCCAGATTGTTAGGGGGCAATATGCTATTTAGTATACTGTCTTTGGTGTAAGCCGCCTAGAGTCCTCGGAGAGTGGGCGGTATAGATACATGACAAATAAATAAATAAATAAATAAATACTCTCTTAATTGATTGATACAGGGGAGTATGTTTAATACCTGGAAGCCCATGTGGGTAGTGCTGTCAGAAGATGGAATTGAATTCTTTAAGAAGAAGACTGATAACAATCCTAAAGGAATGATTCCCCTCAAGGGCAGCACACTGACCAGTCCCTGCCAGGATTTTGCTAAAAGAACAGTGAGTATTTATGTTTTTTGAATCATGTAGAAGTAAGGTCTATCCCAAGAGTAGGCAACACCCTTTGCATGCAAGGGAAATGGATGGGTGTGTATTTAAAGACTGTATGTACATTGCCTGTGTATTTGTGTATGTAAATATGTAGCCTTCCTGGGCCAAATGATACCATGACATCACCAACTAGGATGGGATGAAATTATTCTGAAGGCATCATTCCAAGGTATGGTGCATTTGGAAGTTGGGATGGTTTAAAAGGCAGAATCAATCTCTTAAGCCTTGTGAAATCTTATTATCATTTATTTTGTTCCTAATTACGGTACCTCACAGGGGAGCCACCCCATCCAACCCCAAAGCCCCAAACTTTTGCCTTTAGGATGTAATCTGAGATTCAAGTGGCTGTAAGAGAAGTGATGGAAGGCTGCACATTCCGTGCCCTATTCTTGGCCTTTGGCATCCAGCATACATGACCCCATCACATTGTATTTGTGGTCCCCAGCAGGAAGTGTTGATAGGAATAAAACCTTGACAACACAGGTAACATCATCACCAGAAATCACAAATAATAATTTTTATTTACTGCCAAAAGAGCCAAATAACTAATCACAAATAGAAACTGGATTGGCAACAGTGAGTTTTGAACAAAATGGTCTTTTGGTTGGATCCAGCACAGCTGTTTCTTTTGTTCCTATAACTGAAGAATATAAAAAACCAGCAAAGTTAATCGAAAAGCTACTGATCTTAGAGACAATTTCCTTTGACTCGGTAATTACCATAATACTTCTGATATACTGTACCGCTAACTACTGTGTTAACACAATATTTTCTTGTACTTTTAAGAAAAAATAATAAAATCATTAGTAAAAAATGGATTCATGTGCAACCAATGTACACATTTCCTCCCCCACCTCAAATCATCTGTGAAGATAGTTTTTACAATACTGTGGTTTTGTTACTTACACATTTCAAACGACAGTCTTGCTCTGGCATAGAATGCTTAGTACAACAGTATTTCCTCTCTTTTTCAGCTGAGCACTTTAGGCTGGGTTGTGCAATATTTTCAGAGAAAGCAATCTTCCCTTTCCCTATTCTCCTTGTGTGGCAGGCCAGTGGGAATGGGATTTAAACACTGCACTGTGCTGCTTCCACCCACATTTCTTCTCAATTTTAAAGTCCTTGAAATCTTTAAACTGTGGATAGATTATTTATTGTCTACCCCTGTCCCTGTAGGCATTTCAAGATAGATTCTTTTGGGTGAATTGATACACAATGAACCAAATCTCTCTTCAGACAATCAGAACTCACTGAAACCTCCTGTCCAAATAATAGGGAGATATTTATTTAAAAGTTATATGATAAAATAGAAAGGGGAAAGTATTTTGGTGCACTCTATATAGAAGTAAAAGTGATGTGGTGGCTCAGTGGCTAAGATGCTGAGCTTGTCGATCAAAAGGTCGGCAGTTCAGTGGTTCGAATCCCTAGTGCTGTGTACTGGGCTGCAGGGCCGGATTTTCCTATAGGCTAACTAGGCTTCAGCCTAGGGCCTCAAGATCAAGAGGGGCCTACACAGTGGTGGGATTCTGGGGGTTCTAGGGGGTTCGGCCAAACCCTTTGTTAAATTGCTGGCTCGCCCGCCCCTCGCCTCCCACCCGCGCGGCGCCAGCCTACCGTAGCCAGGGGTGGGCAATTGTGGCTCTTTTACAACCTGTGGACTTCAACTTCCAGAATTCCTGAGACAGCTTGGCTGTCTCAGGGAATTCTGGGAGTTGAAGGCACAGGTTGTAAAAGAGCCACAATTGCCCACCCCTTCCGTAGCCTGAGTTCCGCTGCCTGGGATCCACGTGGGCTGCCACGTGGTTCCCCACCGGCTCCGGACGCAAGAGAGCAGGATGGAGAAAGCAGCTTCCACGCCTTCACTCACCCTCACTCTCTGCTCTGTTGGATAGCCGGCCATTCGCTTACCCCGCCCACTCCCCATCTATTGCTGCCTTCGATGGCTAGAGGAAAAAAAAACTTCAAATTCTTGCCGCGGGGCTTCAAAGGGCCACCCTAGAGCCAGTGCTGCAGCCGAACCCTTTGTTAAATTGCTGGCTTGCCCCGCCCCTCCGCATCACTATTTATTGCCAATAAATAGTGGTGGGCGAGGGGCGGGGGAGCCAGCAATTTAACAAAGGGTTCAGTGTTTTTTTTGTAATTTTATTGGCCCACGGAGCTTCAGCATAGGCTAATTGGCCTCCCGGCTCTCAGCTGATTTGTCTCAGCTGTTTTGCTCAGGGCTCTTCTGCTTCCTTGCAAAGAGTGCTGATTTTTTCCCCCCTAACTATGCCGAGAAACGAAACTGAAACTGCTTTGTTGTTGCTGCAAGGTTGGAAAATTAAGCAGGCAGAATTCTTTTCTTTTTCCTCACCAAAAAAGGTAGGTGCAAACAATGGGAAATTTAGGGAAAAAGAGAAGAGTTCAGGATTTTAAAACACAAAAGAAAAAAAGCTCTATTTAACTAGGGAATTGTAATAATTGAGATACTATTAATTGTATATTTCTGAAAGCAGAAATGGTTAAGTTGTGGTTTGGAGGAATATATGGGGGAAATTATTTGGTTTATTATTATTGGTAAATATAATTAATGGATTTGTAAGAAATTGGATTGCATGGAAATAATTGGAATATTCATGTTCATATTGATTAATATACAAAAAAGGTAGTTATATAACTAATAGATTTATATTAAAATGTTGAATTCATATTAAACAACTGTAATATTACATAATTAACCAATGTGAGGATGGATATAAAAATAGATGACAATGGGAAGGGGTATAATATAGAATAGAAGGGAAAAATTGAATTTGATTAAGATTAGAGATGAGGATGAGGGTAATATTGGTTTTTTATAAAAATAGATGAGGAATAAATATGGCAAAAAGGAAATATAGAAATTGTAAATTTAATTGAAATGACTAAACACTGTTTAAATTTGTGAACCGGCCAAATACTCTGTTCAAAGAAAATACATTGTATGTTTGTATGTGTGTTTCTAATTATTGTTATTTATTCATATTTGTTCTCTTTTATTCTTTAAAGTTTAACAATTCATTCTTTATCTTAATATCTTTATATTTGTTTGGGGTTGGCTTTCTTCCCTTTCATCTTTTTTATTGTACAGCAATCTTTCTCCTCAAACCTACCACCTCTCTTTTCTTTCCTTCTTACTTTCTCTTCCTCCCCCTCTTCTTCTCCTCCCTCCTTCCTCTTCCTTTCTCCTTCTCCTCCTCTCTTCCTCCCTCTCTCTCCTACTCTAATTTCCCTTCCCTTCCTTCATCCCTCTCTATTGCTGTATCCTTTTATGCATATGGACTACTCAGAGGGCTGAAAAAGTTATTTCTGACTGGTCCTCGCACTTTTGACCAGTCCTCGAACTTACGACTGTCCTCACATTTTACATTTTTGCCCTATCTTGTCACCATGGTGAAGAGAAGCAGTTGTGAAATGAGTGACATGGTTGTTAAGAAAGCTGCACGGGCATAAATGTGAGGATGGTCATAAGTGTGAGGACCGGTCAAAAGTGCGAGGCCCAGTCAGAAATGACTTTTTTCAGCCCTCTGGATAGTCCTTTTGTGCATATGGACTACTCAGAGGGCTGAAAAAGTTATTTTTGACTGGTCCTCGCACTTTTGACCAGTCCTCGAACTTACGACTGTCCTCACATTTTACGTTTTTGCCCTATCTTGTCACCATGGTGAAGAAAAGCAGTTGTGAAATGAGTGACATGGTTGTTAAGAAAGCTGCACGGGCATAAATGTGAGAATGGTCATAAGTGTGAGGACCAGTCAAAAGTGCGAGGCCCATCAGAAATGACTTTTTTCAGCCCTCTGAAAAAAGTCTATGCACATAGCCACGCCCACCCGGTCACATGACGAGCTACCCACGCCTACACAGTCACGTGACCAGCTAGCCACGCCTACCCAGTCACATGATTGCCAAACCACGCCCCCAACTAAGCCACGCCCACAGAACCTGTTGTTAAAAAATTGAATCCCACCACTGGTGAAAGGGCCTCATAAGTGGAATAGCCTAGGGCCTCTTTCAATCTAAATCCGGCCCTGCTGGGCTGAGCTCCTGTTAGTTATCCCAGCTTCTGCTAACCTAGCAGTTCAAAAGCACATAAAAAATGCAAGTAGAAAAATAGGGACCACCTTTGATGGGAAAGTAACAGGGTTCCATGCGCCTTTGCTATTTAGTCATGCCGGCCACATGACCACGGAGACGTCTTCAGACAGCGCTGGCTCTTCGGCTTTGAAATGAAGATGAGCACTGCTCCCTAGAGTTGGGAACAACTAGCACATATGTGCAAGGGGAACCTTTACCTTTACCTTTTACATAGAAGTAAATAAGCTGAATAACGCTTAAAGTTCTTGTTGATTCTTAGTAATATCTAAGGATCATCTGAGGAAAGTTGCAGCTTTGAAGTATGGTAGTATCCACGTCTCAGACTGTGGTGGTATATGCTATGGCAAATGGATAAAAGACAACATATTTATTACAACTGAGGGGAAATGTGTTTTCCCTATTTCAGCAGAGATTGGAGCATATCTACAGTGCTGTGGAATTGGTTCATTTCAGTAGCCCATTTGCCACTGAAGGATGCCAAAAGATCCAGAACTGAGCACTCTTCCTTTTTTCTATCACCACTTCTCTTTCTAACTCTGAGCTATCAAAACTAGGCACTCATCTCTCAATAAAAGAGTTCTTATACAATAAATAGGATTCCCCCCCCCCAGTTGTTTTCATATTATTGCCTATTTAGATGTTTTAGCTGGGGAATAAACTATCTATTCTACACTGCTTGCTAACATAAATTGCCTAAAAAAACCCCTATTTATACGGACTAACAGTAAAATGTATTTCTATTCCAGTTTGTCTTTAAACTCACAACAGCCAAACAGCAGGATCACATCTTCCAAGCTTCTCATCTTGGGGAGAGAGATGCTTGGGTGAAAGACATCAAGAAGGCCATCAAATGCATTTTGGGAGGACAAAGGTTTTCCAGGAAATCAACGAAGAAATCTATCAGGCTTCCTGAAACCATCAATCTGGGGTGCGTTCCAAAGCTAAACATTGCTTATATAAGTGGGGTGTGGGAAAATACTTCTATTTCAAAAGCTTTATTTTTATGAGGCTGCTACAGAAGCAGCTGCTTGAATTGTTCTCTGTTGAAACTTGCCATCCAAATTCCTATTTTTTTGTTTATCAACAAGCTGGAATTAAAGCATACCTTATATATTTTCTGGTCTCAGAAAAAAAGGGGTGTTTTTTCCCCCGTATTCTTGTTCTCAGGGAGCTTAAACACTTCTTTTGGCAGCAGTTCTGCGCCAACTTCAATCAGGTGAAGTAGCTACCTTTTTTTCTTATTATGTCTCTCTCATCACAGATCAGCATCTCCAGCTTTCTGTTGCTTCCTAAGTTGAAAGTTGAGTTACTTCACGTTTCTCTCCCGGGTTTAAAGAGATATTTCGAAAACTTGGCACAAGGAGGTTTGCTTGAGATAATACCCAATATTAATAACTGGAAGAATATTAATTTATTACACTTAAACCATGTTCCAAAGCAGATTATGGGTGTAATCATGAGTGCTTGTCAATCTCAACAACTTAAAATGGTGGATGTCGTGCAAGCTGGGGAGCACAGATCTAAACAAAACCATTGTTTGGAAGTGTTGATCCTATATGTTCTTTCAGGCATAAGAATTTAAGCTGTCCACAGGACTGAGAAACCTGGGGCAAATCAGTAGCCCATTAGCACAATAAATAACCAAGTTCTTTAGATGCCTTCCTGGGACTCTTAAAAACTTCGTGATTTTATTTAGCAGAAAGCCTATTTTTTTAAATCAACAATGTTGCTGCTTTGTTTTAAAACATTTATTTACTTGCTGTTTTAAACAAATCTCAGAGTGGTTATATTACACCCCTTTTGTTTTCTGCACAGAGCTTTATATCTCTCTATGAAGGACCCTAACAAGGGGATACGGGAAATGAAGCTGGAAAAAGACAAGAAAATTTTCAATCACTGTTTTACAGGTAGGAAGTTGTTAAGAATTGCTTAAACAACAACAAAGTAGGTAAATCAAAACATATACTTAAAAAACGGAGCTGTAATGTATTCCAAGAAAATAGAATTATAGGGATGTCATAAAATAAGGAATAAAGGCCAGCAAATAAATTGCACAAATAAATAAAATAATCTGACGGATTCAATTCTTGTGGCACGGATCTCCTATCCTATCCCTATAACCAAATTGCATTGCAATATTTCTCAAAACAAAGAATATATGTTACAGTCCACTTTTCCAAAAGCTTGGTAGCCATTAACTATTACGTTTTTAATCCCAGGCATATCTAACATTCATTTCATACCATCCAACTTCTTGTCGCAAAACATGAGTTACAAAAATCATTAAGACTGCATGCTTCCCAGAAATTGATGAGTCTACCAAAACTTTGTGAATGGAATAGAGAAATGATTTCAGTTGATTGAAGAAATTTGGAGTACCTTTTATAATGGTTTGGGAAGTACTACAAGGAATTGCAGGGAGTGAGTCCCTCCTCCTTGCAGTTGCTAATGCTTACAAAAACTTTCTCTGAAGACATCAGAAAAACATTAGCTTCAGTATTTTTTATAGCAGAATAACAGAATAAAGAGTTAGAAGGGACTTTGGAGTCTTCTAGTCCAATCCCCTGCCCAAGCAGGAAACTGTACCATTTCAGACAAATTGTTGTTTAATCTCTTCTTAAAAACCTCCAGTATTAGAGCACCCACAGCTTCTGGAGGCAAGTTATTCCACTGATTAATTGTTCTAACTGTCAGGGAATTTCTCCTTAAGTTTAGGTTGCTTCTCTCCTTGATTAGTTTCCATCCATTGTTTCTTATCTTGCCTTCAGGTACTTTGGAAAATGGGTTGACCCCCTCATCTTTATGGCAGCCCCTGAGATATTGGAATACTGCTATCACTCCTAGTCCTTCTTTTCATTAAACTAGAATTTTGTAATCTATTCAGATTCAGAGATAATCATCATCAGGGGATTTGCTTTTCAATTTTCTTAATCCTTATCATATGTATTGCTTTTTATGTATCTTTGGTGATCATCCTTTGTTCTTCTCCTTGTCATCAGGTGATTCTGTGATTGATTGGTTACTGTCAAACAATGCATTACGAAATCGCCAAGAGGGTATAGTGCTGGCATCTGCCCTATTGAATGAAGGCTACTTTCAGGCTGCTGGTGATACATCGAAGAATGCACTTGAAGGCCTATCAGAAACCCCCTTCTTGGATATGGAGGATGCCTATTACTATTTTGTAAGTGTTGTCTTCTTTATGTAAATCACAGAAAATTTCTGAAGTATACCTATCAAACAAGCAATAAGAAAAACATCTGGTGTCATCTAATGCATTGCTCGCTCTCCCTATCTCACTCTTTTTAAAACAAAAAATAAAAGCTGTACTTACAGATGTTTGGGTAGCGGTAGGGTTGGGTGAATGAGTCTTGGTGGCGCAGTGGTTAGAGTGCGGTACTGCAGGTTACTTCTGCTGCCTACTGGCTGCTTGCAATTTGCCAGTTCAAATCCCACCTGGCTCAAGGTTGACTCAGCCTTCCATCCTTCCAAAGTAGGTAAAATGAGGACCCAGATTGTTGGGGACAATATGTTGACTCTGGAAACAATTTAGAGTGGGGCTGTAAAGCACTGTGAAATGGTATATAAGTCTAAGTGCTATTGCTATTTCTATATCTACAATTCCTTTTTTTTAAAAAGAAAACATTGCATTAGACCAGACCAGATGCTTCTCCAGCTACCAGTCTGAATATCATACACACTCTATGAATTGAAAAGTCTACTTTTTATGCTTCCATGTGCAACACATATAAATTCTGCACTAACTTTACTTCCAAAGTGATTCGGGCATAGGGTTTCAGTAAATTAATAAAAATTGATAACTTTTACCCACCTCACTCCTAAAAAGCCGCACGAAATTTGTAGTCCAAAGCCACTCCCTTGAATTAATTGTCTTTATTTTTGTATATCAGTGAATGCAGATCAGTATACTTCAGGTACTTTAAGTATCTATTAGAAGACTTTTTTACTTTGAGGCTGAGCTTGTGTTAAAACACCCAAGCTAATTTATATATTTGATGACAGTAACAACAGCTTGCATTACAAAAGTATAGTAATTGCAGGATGATTTAATAATTAAATTGTGTCTTAAAATGAAATTCTATATCAAAGAGTGGGGATTTATTTAATTTTGAATGGATATGCATTACCTGTCCTGTTAATATGTCAGTCAGTTATAATGGTTTCTGGCATTTATTAATTAGAAAATACTTTGATAGCTTCTTCTGAATAGAAATATGATTCAGAATTTTATGCTGAAAATCACAGCATATATGGAGAATCAGCCTCTTTATGGAGGCTCTGAGCTAGGTCACTACGGTATAGAATTCCTTTGTAGTAGCTGTCATTTCATAGGAATGTGTAATTGTTGATTAAAAATCTATAGACTTTGCTATTCTTTTTTATCATGTGATGGTTAACCATAGATATGAGTCCAATATACTGTATATGCTTTCTGGAAATGAAGTCAATCCAACCAGAGTTCAGATATCGTCATTTCTTCTCTATCAGAATTGCTTAACTTGTCCCACAAGTGAGCTTCAGGGATAAATTAACCATGGATCTGCTTGCAAAACATCTGCTGATCATTCTGATGATAACCACCAAGGGGAGATCTGTTTTTATCAGCACTTGGAGCATGATCTATCATTTGAACCATGCCTTGACCAATCTACCACTCCATATCTCGCAACTTAAAAACTTTTTCCATTTATATTTTATGACATGAAAGATTATTCTGGGTGGGAAAGAAAGATGAAAGCAGCATAGATGTTTTACTTCTTAAATTTCAAATAATGATATAAGTTGACCTCTATTATCTCTGTTTTATACTCAGACCAATAAATCTCTTTGGCATGTGCACCTCTAGTTTGGCCTAAAACTGGACTCACACAACTTGTCTTCTACTAGCTAGAAAATAGTCATCAATCTGATACCACACCATACACGGTGACCATAATCTCCATAATGCCATAAACCATAGTAGCTAAATTGATGAAAGTTGATTCAAAAAATTGGAAGGTGACACATTACCTAGCTTTGATTTTCATTCTACATGTTTGTGCAAATGCAAAGTAAAAAAAAAATATTTAGGACCGTGACTGGAAAATCTCTACACAACATATAAATTTGCTAAGATAGAGTGGCCACATACTACTTGGAAAAAGATAATCTTTTACTTACAGGACTTTTAAGAGATGGATTTAATTCTTTTATTTTGGCTGCTGCATTTTCTACTTCATCCTAATCTGGCAAGATATGTTAATAGTGTTTCAAGAGACCATATTTGATTAATTAAACTGACTGATTGATTGAACATACTGATGTCAGTCCTTATCGTCACCAAGCGGAATAGCTTCTTTTTATCATGCACCTTCACTTTTCCATCCAACTGTATAATTCTGTGAATTAAGACACAGGCAACAAACTTTACAGTGTCTTCTAACTGAACCTTCTTGTATTATGAGCCTCAGCTGCTCGACTGATTGATTGATTTCATTGTGGGGTTACATTTAAGTTGCATAGGACAAGGCAAAGTCTGCTAAAATCTGTTTATAGCATAAAAGATAAAGTTAATAATATATTTAAGAAGGAAAAGCAGCTTTGGCAAACTACAAAAATAAGTTTTTGTCTGTTTGTCCTCGGTTCTAAAGACAAAGTAGATGCACAAAAAATGTCCCTATTGGAATAATGGGTAGATAAGCCAATGGCTTCTCCATTCTCTACAACAAATAGGACATTTTTAAAAAATGTTCAACTAACACTAGCATTATTTAACAGTCCGATCCTAGGAGACATTTATCAACTTGGCTTCTTCAATGTCTTAAAATAGGCAGACAGTGGTTTCTTCTGTGAGGGCAACTCCAGTGATGATGACACAGTCTTCAAGGAAGAATTCAGAGGCCTGGTGGTCAAACAGGGTTGTCTGCTGAAACAGGTTGGTGTATATCTTGTTTTTTTGTCACATAAAATATAAACTTATGTCATACATATGTATGAAATCAACTGGTCTAAAACTATCACCAAAGTACTGAATATTCTCTGAATTTTCCTGGCTATTATCTGCCTCAGCAGCATCACGCACTGTAGCATTGCTAAGCAGCGATCAGTTACTAGTGGGGATACGATACAGCCACGCTGCAAATTTTCTGAGCTAGAACCCCACTCACCAGCCCCTAACTTGTTTCAACCGACAGAACAGAATAAGAGGTGGAGGGCTTTTTTGAAAAGGGAAAAACAGAGCTGACCTGCTTTTGAAGCAAGAAATATACATCAGAAGGCAGGCCTGGAATTAAGAAGTCTAGATTTACTGTACATCCATGCCAATTCTCTGAGCTTATTGTTACTAGTATATGAGTAAATGTAAAAAAAAAAAAAGAAAGATGTTATCTGTTTTTGCAACAGTTTTGGAAAGAGAGCTAAAATATAACAGGCAACCAAAAGAGTCATTTTCCTTGGTAGTTCAAATTAAATGTAACACTTATCTGATGTCCCAATGGTTCCAGACAGACAGAGCTGGTTTTAATAGAATTACAATAGGACTTCACATAAAAGAATACTCGAAGACTTAAAAGCATGTGACTCATTGAGTTTCCGGCTTGAATCATGCTGTTCTGGCAGAAAATTAAAAAGTCACAACGTTTTGTGGAAATGATCAAGACCTATGGCAGAACTGATGATCAGTTTTTAAACGAGTTTCAAAGACATAAAGTTTTACTCTTATTTTTTGCTACCCATATTTAATAGACTGGTAAATCTTACCAAGAGGAAAACTTTTTAACAAATTAAATGTGAAACATGTTATATCTATTTCATTAAAAATTGCAAATCACCAGATGTAAATGTCAATTTGCATTGCCTTTCATGCTGTCCATTTTGCTTTTTGACACATTTTCTTTACTTTTTCAACAAGTTTTTTTACTAAGCTTAAGAAAAGAGAAAAAAAGATACACAACAAAGGAAAAAAAGAGGCAAAACTGATATTTTTATTCATGTATTTATTAATAAAAAACAAGCTTGACTATAAGTTAGGAAGAAAACTCATCTACTGAAAGGTTGTATGCACATTATATAATTTATGTGATATTCATATTGCATGTAATTATATGATAAATACATACAGGTGGCCGAGTTTAAACTAAACATGAAAAATATTTTGGTGGGCAGGATCTATAGTTGAGGCAACAAGGCAAAATGAACTGGGTAGAATCAGACATACCTGAGAGAAAGACAAAAGTGTTTCTGCCCCTCCCCCCCAATACCCTCCCACTCTCTATTTGGAGGAAGGGCAGATAGAATATATTGTTTTAAATTAGTAAATCCATTTCATAGCTTGCACTACAGCTGGTTCTGTTTGCCCCACACACACTCAAAATTATGGGATTATGGAATCATCAGATTCAACCAAATGGTGGTAATCCAAAGCAAGAGGGCTCTAAGACCTGCAGAAAGGGAATTCAGCAATCACTTGTAATCCTAAGGATAGAAGTTATTGAGCCTGGTTTATATCAAATGTAATAACCCTAGTGATTTAATTGAAGGTCCCTCAAATATAAACAAAATAACCAATTTGATCATCAGAGTAAACACCAATAAAATCATTGGAATCTTTTCTATTGATTTTATCAGAATGAGGATAATTTAAAGTGACTTGTTCCATTGTGAGAACAAGGCTTGGTTAAAGGACCACCATCAGTGAGCTGTTGGACAGCATTACATGGTCTGTTGTGTGGATGTTTGGGTGGTTTAGGGGTGGGGAATTTGGGGTGGGTGGGAGGGGGGTGTTTGGGGATTGTTATGTGTGTTGGACCTGGTCTTTGGGTATTAAGTGAATTTCAATAAAGTTATTATTTTATTTTAGTTTACTTTGACATTTATGCCTGCAGAGCAGAAAATTAAAAATTAGGCTTTCTTAATATTTGTTTAGGGTCACAGAAGGAAAAACTGGAAAGTGCGGAAATTTGTTTTGAGAGAGGACCCTGCTTACATGCATTACTACGATCCTGCGGCAGTAAGTGTGCATATCACTCAGTTTTGTTGAATAGTATATTTTATATTTTGTTATAAATACAAAATTGCATTTATAACACACCAATGCTATGTGGTGATGAAATCACCTACTGAACACTATAGGAATAGTATGTTTACTACTAATTTACTATTAGCACCCATAAATTACTAGTAGCACCTATCCTTCTTCATAACAAAGCTCATTTTATCAGCATTAAATGATGCAGTAACTTTTTGCATCACTTAAGATGCCACTTTCCTGAGTAGACAACCCTTGTGGATTTGTATAGTTTTGCACATTTGTCTCTAGTAGTACTGAACTTCAACACCCAGAATCAATGGTAGTTGAGGGTTCTAGGTTTTTGGAGTCCAACACATCTGGATGTCACCTGTGTGGAAAAGACTGCTCCATTGTCTCTGTACATGAACACGTTTTGTTAACCTTCTAACACTTGGACAACCAAAAGTATTATTTATGCATACGTGAAAACAAAACTGCATAGATAATGGGACTGTGCCTCTTATATCTTTGAGTGCCATCTCTATTTCTCCCTGACTTCCTTGTGTTGAGCAAATTAGTCTGAAAGGGAGCTTGAACAACTCTTGTCTTATCTACTCCTCTTCAGCCTTCTTTCTTCTTGTTATTACATCAAAGGTCAGCCAAATAATTTACTGAAAGAAAATAGATTTTCATTTAGCTGTTGGAAATCCAATAAGTGACAAAATTAGTTGTAATAATAGGGAAACTGTGACCTAGAGCAATTTGTTACGAAATGGTTCCTCACAAGGGAGTTCCCCAGGTCAGACAGTTCATGAAGAAGATCTTTAAATTAATATGATGCTGTTTCTTCTAAACCACAGATCTGACTAAGACATGTGAGTCTTTCCTTCCTTCCTTCTTAAAAAGATCCCTTCTGATATCTTGATGAGATCGGGGAAGGGATATGCAATATATAAGGAAGTAAATCTTAGGGCTTGTGTGCAAAGTCCTATTCTCTACGGTTTATTCTTCATATGTTCCCTTAAGAATTTCTATAAAGACTCTGTCTTTGCTGGAGATGTCAGCAAAACTATACATACATACATACATACATACATACATACATACATACATACATACATACATACCTTTAATCTCTACTCCAAATAATATCTTAGAACTTGATTTCTTTTCATTTTTTTCTTTATCCATTCTCCCAAAATACAAACCTCTTCTGTAAATCCAATAAAGGAAAATTATCTCCTGGTTTATTTGTACATCCCTTTTAATTATTAATTATTCAATTATTAAGACATCAACTGGTTTCTTTTGTATGTGGGATATCTTTTTCCATGTCATTCTTCTAGCCTGCCATTTTTAAATCCACTTTCAAATGAGTCTCAGTCTTATCAGATAAGACTTGTTCCTTTTTGGTAACTTCTTTAAAATATAGTCTATAGAGGCAGACACTCTTAAAATTAACTTCTAGGTCTAGACTCTAGAGTTTAAAAATATCCTTCAGTACATCTAATGTTAAAATATTTTTCTTTAGTTTGCACTAAGTTAAATTTAAGTGTACTTCTCCTTTAATTGTTAGTTCCTCCTGGTTTTCTCTAGTGTTCAACCTTCAAAGTCTCATCTTGTCTTTTAAAAAATTTTTTAAAGAGAATTTGAAACAAAAGTATTTTCCTGTGGGAAGGATTTTTATGATTAATTCCAAAATCTTATTTCAAATCCCATGGACTCTTAGTTTATTTGTAACCTTCCAAAATCAAAGTTCTAATTACACTTTTGCTAGTTACTCCAAAAGAAAACAAATTAAGTGCTTAAAGTTTTATTTAAAACTTCTCTCACTAAGGATTGAAGGAAACTCACCTGGTGCTGTAAAACCTATTGATCCAAAGATTCCTAGTAGCTGAAAAGTAGTTAACAAGCATCTTCAAAAGTAATTAGAAAAGAGATTATGTAATCCAGTTTCCTTTTAAAGGTATCAACCATGGTTTAAGCAAGACGGCTATACCCTCATGTCTCAGAGCTCTAAATCCACTGTAAAACTGCTGTCTTGCAGTCTCCTCATGAGGAGCAACTGTATAGAGGATTTATGGCCAATCTCAAGTTTTCTCCTTATCCAGAGAGAAATTACTAAGAGCTGGTCTACATGCCACTTCTGCATTCTATAACTAAAAGCAGAGCTGTCTTTCCTAGAGTTTGAATCTGGATGAGTATTAAATGAAATTTCTTTCAGGGAGAAGATCCACTTGGAGCCATTCACTTGAGGGGCTGTGTAGTGACAGCGATTGAAGACACATCAGATGGTAATTTTGGAGAGATTTGCCAAAAGTGTGTGTGTGTGGGGGTCCCCATGAGATTTTGTACAGAGCCTCTCTTGCCGAATTTTCGGATTAGCATTCTCAGAATTATAGCATATCTAATAACATTGTCTTTTCATCCCCAATATCTGGGAAAATGCTGCTTCCAAGGCAAGTCTGATGCATTAGTTCATTTATACATTAACTATGAATAAATATAAATATCTTAATAGTAATTTACGCATTTGCATCAGCAGTGAAATCCACTTACCTTCGCTACTGGTTTGGGAATGGGAATGCGCGGGAGCGCGCAGGAGCACACACATTATGCGCACATGTCTCTTTTGCGCATGCACAGATGGTTAAAAAAATGGGACATAATGACATCCTGGTGGGTGGGCAGAGCGTCCCGCTGCAAGCGCTACTGGTTCAGCGAACCGGATAGAAACGGGGGGGGGGATTTCACTGCTGATTTGCATGCTATATACTTAAATACTATATTTTATATATTGTTGTATTCCTACTGTCAGGAAGGACAGTAGGAATACAACAATATTTGGGGTGGTATCCGATTCTGGGAGGTGGCAGGGCTTAATTTGCAGCTTAACTTTAGATCGTTAAAAAAAAAATTGGATCAGTTGGTTCTACATAGATATATGTAGATATATATACATAGATATATATATACATATATCTCCTTTATAGATATATGAAGGAGAGGCTTATAAAGGTAGAAATTTTGTATATGGATTAAATGGAAGTGCAAAGACTTTCATTTATGCTTGTTATCCAGTAAGAATGGAAGTGAATTATTTCTTCTGAGGCAGAAGTGCTGAAACAAGCCCTCTCCCTGATCCTTTGCTCACTTTTCCCCCCTCTGTCCTCTCCAAATCAGGCAAGAAAAATGAAGTGGAGGGAAACCTCTTTGAGATTATTACCGCAAGTGAGGTGCACTATGTCCTTCAAGCAGCTACTTCTGCAGAACGTACAGAATGGATCAAGGCCATTCAGCTAGTCTCTAGAACTGGGAAATGAAAGACTCTTGGTTTTAGCAAAAAAAGAAGAAGAAAAATCCTCAAAAGTGATTTACCAGCTCAGTAGCTCTCTGGAAAGGAACATCAGCTGGTTTTAAATTTAAACTGTTATTTAACAATAGATTGTTTTAGAATAGTGGCAGAATATTTAATGTTGTGTAGATCAGATGTTTCTATTTTCCTCTATTCCAAAGAGGAATGGTAATCTATAGATCTTCAGATGCAGCTGACGAACACCTAGCAACCAGCAATATGGCCAACAATAAGGGATGGTGAGGGAACCAGTTTACTAGCATCTGAAAGAACCAAAATCCCCCAATTTTTTGTTTAAAATGCAATCGTACATATAATTATAATTTGTTTTCTTTTATGGGGCAACTCTGAAGCAGATGAATGAATAGCTATGATATCTGTGATAAGATTGCTACATATGGTGGTTGGGGAGAAAAATGTTTTCCTTGTAAACTGTATTTTCAATAAAATATATTTTTAATAAAGTTTAACAAAATAAAGCTAGCATTATTGTCTTTGCTAAAAACACAAACCTTCAGTTCTTTTATTCAATCTTGGCAATTTTAAGATGTTTGGACTTCAACATGGTGGCTGGGAAATTTTTGGAGTTGAAGTGTATGTATGCATCTTAAAGTTGCCAAGGTTGAGAAACTCTGTTCTATGTCATAAATACCTGAGATCTTGTAATTTAAACACAAAACTATGTCAAAGATATTTTTCTGTTTGATAATAATAGTAAATATCTTACTACCATGTACATCATATCCTTTGATATAAGTTCAACAAAAATAAATTTTCAAATGTTTGCTAATTAAGGTGTAAATTTGATTCTCCTTCAGTTTTTGCATAAAATAGGTGGGGTGGGGGGTTTAGCAAAAAGTTATAAAGTCTTATATAAAGTTTTCCTAACAGATGTTTGGGAATTATAACTTCCAAAACCTTTCCATTCCCAATACCTCTGGAGGGTAACATATCGGAAAAGCTGAATTGCAATGATCCCTTTTTATTTCAATTAGATAGACAGACAGATAGAGATGGAGATAAAGATATAAACAAAGTTATACTACTACTACAACTAGTAAACAAGAAATTTGCTTTTACATCTGTACAAGCCAAAACAGAAATACTTGCAAAATCAGCATTTTTAATAGCAGATATTAAGATATTTCACACATCAGCTATTATTTTCCATATAGCCAAGTATGGACCAACTTGCATGTGACCAACTTTAACAGTCACTCATTCTTGAAAATATAAGCTCTAGTCCATCTGCATATGTTGAGAAAACAGGTAGTCCTCGACTTACAACAGTTAGTGACCAATCGAAGTTACAACGGCACTGAAAAAAGTGACTTTGACCAGTTTTCACACTTATGACCATTGCAGCATCCCCGTGGCCATGTGATATACATTTGGGTGCCTGACAACTGGTTCATATTTATGATGGTTGCAGTGTCCTGGGTCATGTGATCATATTTTGCGACGTTCTGACAAGCAAAGTCTATGGTGAAGCCAGATTCACTTAACATCCATGTTACTAATTTAACAACTGCAGTGATTCACTCAACAAATGTTGAGTGTCCCCCCTCATAAAATGGGGGGAAACTCATTTAACAATTTTTTTCAGCAACATAAATTCTGAGCTCAATTGTGGTCGTAAATTGAGGACTATCTGTAATATGAGCAGCAGAAGTGGGGTAACAGCTTGCCCCATATCCCTTTTGTTATTTTATAACCAATCTTTGCCATCTCTGTGCATGAAGATAGGCCATGAATAACAAGGAGACTTCTCCCACCAGAAGGTTAAGAGTATAGCGTAAAAAAGGTCCCAGAAGAAATCAGATAAGCAAGAGTGTTTCATATCTGGCTGAGAGTGCTGAGCTTTTCTGAATAAGGTGAAAGTTGAATGAGTTCAAGAACTTCTACTGAGTTCCAATTTTCTAACTGCAGAATTTGATCACATGAAGTAAATTATCATCAGAAACAATGTGTTACATAATTAATACTAGGTCAAAGAAAATTGATCTTGTTTAATCAACCACCAGAAGACCAAAACTGGTGTTACAGCAGAAAATCAGCAGAAAATACAGAACAGTTGATTTTCAGACAGGTTCTACAGAATTGTAACTCATTCTTTTCAAAAACTGCCCCAATGGATTGATAAGACATTTTCCAACAACTGACCAAAATCATTTCTTTCTTTCTTGGAAATGATGCTTTAGAAATATGAATTGAAATTTATAAGGAAACATCACATTTCTAGGTACATGGGGAAATAAATAATTTTACCCAATCATCTGAGAATATTTCCAAAATAGCTCAATAGCAATAACAATAGCACTTAGACTTACATACAGCTTTATAGTGCTTTATAGCCCTCTCTAAATGGTTTACAGAGTCAGCATATTGCCCCCAACAATTTGGGTCCTCATTTTGCCTACTTTGGAAGGATAGAAGGCTGAGTCAACCTTGAGCCTGCTGAGATTTGAACTTCCAAATTGCAGGCAGCCGGCAGGCAGCAGAAGTAGCCTGCAGTACCGCACTCTAACCACTGTGCCACCGCGGCTTATCAAGCATCAACAGAAATAATATCTGGGATTATAATGTATTCTGGAGGCTCAAAGTGCACTACATGTATTGCCTTATAAATAAGTAACAGTTATAAGAGGTGAGCTAGTATTATTAACATCTATTGGACGTGAAAACTCAAAGAATGGCTAATTTAAATCCACTTAGAAGTTAGAAGTAATTAAGATACCTGTAGAAAGAAAGAATTTTCCAGGTAATTCACAATTTAATCTTTTTGAATCACAATCCTGTAACATTTCTAAGATGAAAGTATATAATAATATTTCCAGTTGACTGGTATATTCTTACATTTTTACTAGAGAGCAAATTTTGCTAAACACAGTACAGATGATTCTGACTAAACATGTATTACATTCAGTGGTGGGTTTCAAATTTTTTTTCTACCGGTTCTGTGGGCATGGCTTGGTGGGCGTGGCATGGTGGGCATAGCAGGGGAAGGATACTGTAAAATCTCCATTCCCTCCCCACTCCAAGGGAAGGTTACTGCAAAATTCCCATTTCCTCCTGATCAGCTGGGACTTGGGAGGCCGAGAATAGATGGGGCCAGGGCCAGTCCGAATTTTTACTACTGGTTCTCCGAAGTACTCAAAATTTTCCTTACTGGTTCTCCAGAACTGGTCAGAACCTGCTAAAACCCACCTCTGATTACATTAGAGTGAAACATTAAATTTAATTTTCCATAATTCAAGCAATTTTTATTATTGTAAACAAATATTTATAACTACTGTATATATGTATAACTATACATAAGCACCCTGAATCAATTCAAGGTAGGATATAGGCTTCTTCTCCTGAGCTAAAAGTAGGGGAATCCTCCCCAATCCTGTGCTGAACATGGACAGAATATTGATAATATGTGTCAAAATGCTCCATTTTAAAATATTCCAGATTTATATTAATTTATTAACTAAATAAATAAAAATTTAAAATGGAGGGGCATAATACAGATTTATTTTCAATCATGCCTAAGTAAATAAATAATCCATTGCACTGCTTTTAAAGTGAAATCAGATGTTGACATATGGCACATTTCCGTGCTGTGCAGATAGAGGGTTGATATTTTGAGGTGTGAATAATGTTATTTATTTTTCATGACTTCAATACAACTAGAATTTCACATCTCTGGGTGGTTCATTCAGACATCTAATTTAGAATGCAAGCAACATCATAATACACATTAAAAGGAGCTCAAAATTAGGATAATTCAGTACCAAACAGATGGCACACAAAACATAGATTCTAAATCTCCAAAAGCTTTCTGGAACAATCAAGTTTTGATAGCTTTCCAAAAGATGATTGAATTAGAGCCCATCTGGATCATAGACTAAAATACAGTGAAGCTAATTCCACAGCAATACAGAAACACTTTTCGGTATCTCAAAATCATCACCTCCTAGATTAAGGGTTTAATTTAATATTTATTTTTCTTAATTTTAATCTAATCTAATTTAGTCTAATTTAATTTGTTATAATTAATTTTAATTTAATATTAGTAATTTCAATAATTTTTATAACCAAGTGTTAAAAGGTAGATCAGAATTACAAGGCCCCATAAAATGGTGACCTTTGTTACTGAGATCAGCCTATTATGTCAATTATTTGGGTTACAAGACTAAAGTGAGGAAACATAATTTAATATAAAGGGAACAATGGAAATCCACATTCTCTAGTTTCTTTACCTAGAAAGAGTGTTTGACTTCTATAAAATACAAATCTGATAATTCTCAGCTTATGATTCTCCATATTAAGGTCTCTACTGTAGCAGATTTTACTTCATGTTGTACAGTTCCAATTTCGAAACCTCTTTTTTAAATGAGAAAACAGCTCAGGTAAAAATGATCATAGGAAAACTACTCATCCCGACATTCATGTAAATTCAGTTTTTTGGAATGAGTTGTAAGAATATGCCTTCCATAGAAATCTACTCACAACAAGCCATTATGGTAAATCAGTCAATGTTGACAGGAACATGGATATTTCAGTGACTCAAAACTTTAAAGGAAGCCACAGGAAGAAGATAAAGCTTGCTCCGAGAGCTACTGCCTCCTTGATAATTTGCAATGTGGTTGTTACCATTCAAGTGCTCTCATAATTAAAAATATGCTATCATATGTTGCAAACCAAGGAAACAGGATATCTAATTTATTATTGTACAGTATCTGTTTTAAATAGTTAAAAGAAGTCACTGGGGCTAAGGTCCACACCAATGCAGAGAGAGAATTTATCTCACCATTATGGACTCAAAACATAACCATCTGCATTAAATGTGTGTATGCTGATAGAAAAGCATAAATGTAGTAACAACACAAATACAGTATCTCTGAGAAAATTCAGAAACTATGTGACCAACTGGCTGCAATCTCTAGAACCCAGCTGAGCATTATTGGAATAGTCCTCTAGATACAGTATGTTGAATTATTATGCTTATAGTTTCTCTGGTTTGGCACTATGGAAGTTGTGATACATTACCTCACGAAAGTGCCATATGAAGGAAAACAGAAAACATATCAGAAACTCACCTGTGCATTTCATTGTATGTATGTATGTATGTATGTATGTATGTATGTATGTATGCATGCATGCATGCATGTATCTATGTATGTGGTGGTATTCACTTACCCTCGCTATCAATTCGCAAACGTGAGTGCACATGGGGTGGGGGGCAAAGAGCTGCAACCATTAGAGCTGGCGAGTCCAACGACGAGCATGGCGGCGGCGGCGGCGGCACTGCTAGAACTCATGACTAGTTCTTGGTCAGCTATACTATTAGACCAGACTAGAAATTCTCAAACCACAGCTGTGAATCATGTTTTATGTATTAAAGTTTCAGTTGTACAGTGTGTGGAGGTTTATAAACAGCTTGCAACCACAAAATGAGAGCATATCCATTTAAAATAAGTAAGTTTAAAATGTTATTTTAAAATGGGTATGCTTACATACCAAGAAACATACCAAGAGAGAAAAAGACACAGTAGATTTAAATTTTTGTAATTTCTTGGTATTTTGGTGTCTACATGGTAGCGCTCACTTTTAAAAAAAAAAAGATGTAGGGAAGCTTAAAGATCATAATATAATAAACTTAGCACAAATCTGAGGTCATTGAAATCCTAACATTCCATATATTTGAAACCATGTTAATTGTAGCCATTGAAATGCATCTAGAACTAAATTGTTCTTGCATGACAACAGCCATTAATTTTTTTCTTTAATGTTATTACAGTATGTGGTTACTATTTTTCCTTCTTCAGTCTTAAAAAAGCCCCACTAAAATTATAATAAATATTTTTTAAAGTTGGGTGGTTTTCCCCAATCATTTCCATAAATCAAGAGTTGCATTTTTTGTTTTCTTTTTCAAGCCAAGGATCACATATGACTTTTGAAGACTGTTTGTTTTAAACACCATCTTGGGCAAGATTAGAGCAAAATTAAGAATAGTGTCCCTGAAATATCAGCATCTTGCTATTTTTTTTTTAAAAAAATCTTATTTCCATCCTCCCCTTTTTTATTTTTCAGCTAGGTTTTAAGCTAATGTTAATTAAACATTGTTCTTTTTTCTCCCCTGTATGTTTTGCCTTTCTGCTATTGGTTAATAAGATATTTTTTAAAGAACTATTTTATTATTCTCTCAAACTGTTTGCACAAATGATCTTAACATTATTTTCCTTTGACTTCTTTTTAAAAAGTTCACGCTTGAGGTTGAGTCACCAAAATGTGCATTCAAATATGTGTTTTTGTGTTGTCCTCTGCTTCATTTCCGACTTTGAATTTACTTGCTTCTGAAAGATACTATACTTGTCTTCATCTCTAGCTTCTTCACTTGTCTGTTTGTCAATTATACATTCTGTTCTTCCGGAAATACTAGTGAGAAAGTAAAGAAACTGCTTCACTAAAATTCTTTGCACAGTATAGCATTGCACTCTGAATGTAGATGAGCAAGATCCATTGAATTCATGTATAAATGTTCTATTGGTTCGATGGCTACCTAGAAGTAAGTTTTACTCCTAGCTTAGCTCGGCCTATATCAGTATCATCCTTCTACTGAGAGAAATCCAGAATTCCACAGTCCAGAAGTTCAGACAAAATAAATTTCAGACTCCAAATTGAGCAAATGACTGTGATCATACGCTGTAATATAATCTTCTTATTTAGCTATATCACTTATACAAACTAGAAATAATTTGCTTATGTTCTAGTTTACCTTCAATGAATGTATGTGGTATAAAGGACAGCTAGTTACAAATGTACACACATTTTCATTAGATACAATCTCAAGCTTTGGATGTTAGTTTACTGTCAGATGTTAATACATTTGTAAGAATGCTAACCCAGCCAGAGTGCTTATTATTCAATTAATATTCTCTGGTTATAATTGCTGATAATCATGTTACATAATTTTTTGCATATTTTAAAGAATTCAAATTCCTCAACATTAAAAAAGTTAAAGAGAAGAAAGAATGGAAAGAAACAGGTCATTGAAGTGACACAAAAGAAATACTTCAAGGAAAGCTCATGCAATAAATTTTTCCTGCCTCCCTCTTGTGCCCTAAAATGCCTCTTGTACAAGAAGAAACTAAGCCAATAAATGATCTTACACAGCCATAATAGGAACGGGTCAATAACTACAACAAATGAAGAAAGGAACTTGCAATGCTGTTGCACCGTGAGTGTTGCAGACCTGTTAGTTACTCCCTTTCTTGCTATAGCCCAGTATGACATTGCTCACAAAGTTTATCACATCCCCTCAATCCCTGGATACCTACCAAAAAATTATTTTGGGGTGTGGTGGGGAGTAGATTCAAAGATCTGCAGTTGAAGAAATAGTTGGCTTGGCTATCACAAAATATTGTTCTTGATTCTATCAACCCTTTCAGATTTCAAATCTCTGTGAAAATATCAGTTGCTTTTTTTTTTTTGAAGGGATGTAATTTTTTTGTTTTGTTTAAAGTTGACATTATTGGTTTATGAAACTTAGAAGGAAGTGTTTGTGTAATTAATAGGCTGTGGGTCTAGTTCTCACTGAGGTTTTGGTATGACTCATTCATAGATTTAATTCTCATGAGTTTGGTTTGTGATAAAATAACAAGTATTGTCATAATTGTTGTAATTTTCAGATGATATTTTTTAAATAAGAATTCTATTCAACTGTCTTAAAGACATATTCTGTGTCAATTAGGCTTTGCGGGTAAAAAACTATATTATAATTTTGAGTAATGATTTTGGATTTTAATCCTAATCTATACATCTATACACACACACACATATATAGGCCTATTTTAAAATTTAAAAACCACAGTGGAATTTAATTTCAAATCAATACCTTTAATTGCAATCTTGAAACAAAATATTTATAAGCAAATAAATCAGATTACTCAACCATTCTTTATTTTGATCAATGACCAAAGATAAATCAAATTGTTCAGCAAAGATCTTCCAAATCAATGTACTTTAAGGATACATACTGTAACCTATATATCCTCCGTAAGTTTTACATTACAATTTCCATTACAAAGTCCATTAATGGACTTGCAAGCTTGCATTGAAAGGAATAGCAGTTCTAATCATTTAGAAGCCACCAACTTAATAAATATTATACATTATTTATGTAATAAAGAATTAAAATATTTACAATTCTGAAAGTGTAAAATTAAATAAACATGTATAAAGCAGTCACAAACCAAACTACAAAAAATGTACACATATACAGGCACACACACAAACACATATACACACACACAATTTCCTCTTCTCTAATTTCCTCTGTATAAAACTCTTTCCAGTTCAGCTTCCAAGATTTCTCCCCAGGTATCCACATCCATAGGATACATACATTTTTCTGGCAAATTACTCCGTGACTGAATATTGCTATATTTTCCACTCAGCCATTCATACTTTATTTTGCTTTTCCAGTAGTTTCTATGCAGCGTGACCTGATAAAAGCAATTAGAGAACAAAAGGAAAGAGATATAAATAAAGATACAAAACATAGATTTCTTATGTATAAAAAGCCTTATCTTGCAAGCAATTCCATAATTGGAGGGAGGAATCAACTCTTATCTTCTTAAAAGCTGACTTCAAAACAGATTATTCCAATTTTTCCACTATGTGAAGAATAATTTCACTATGTGAAAACTCTGTGAACTCCCTTCATTAGTATTGCAAGTCTTTTGAAATCGGTATTTTAAGGATGATTTATTCTAGGGGAAAAAAGATTAGACTGGACTTCTAATATATTGCTGCCCACTAGTGATTCATAGAAACTATTACATTCTCAAACTAGAAGATTCAGAGCTTAAACCATTAATGTTACAACCAATATGTTTACTGATTTTTTTTTAAAAAAAGTAGTTGAAGTGGATTAGGTTAAAGAAATGGAGAGTTGGATGAAGAGCTTCATTCTTTTTCTTCTGAACCTAATCATATCACCAGCCAAAAGGTCTTTTCCCTTTTTTTAAATATCACAGTACATATTTGTTATACTATTTAATTACACCTGTGCAACTTTGACAGCGGATTCTGCTAGGCATTTTATTACATATCTTGAGACCCTTAGGAACATGCTGTTATATTTTGATAATAAAATGACAGTTTTAGACATTGCAATTTGTTACTGTCAAGATATATTGTAAAATAGATATGTTAAATAGTTATAAGGATCTTTGATCTATAGTGTTTGCCAATTGCTTACTAGACATAATTTAAGGTGCAAAATCTTAAAAGCAATTGCTTACAGAAATATATTGTCTCCTGTCATATTTCTTTCTAGTTTTATAAAAAAAATAAGGCAAGTAACATAGTCTTATACTACAGATCAACCTGTCAAGTAAAAACCCTAAATAACTTGATGAATTTCAACTGTACCAAAAGACTTAGTGATACTGTGCATGAGATATTAGATCTGGATATAAGAAATCATAATATAATCAAGCCTCAATTAAACTTACCTTCCATGAGTACCCTTTTCCTCTGTCACCATCAACCTCTCGCTGACAGACAGCTCTTATATTTAAACAATGATGTTTCCATAAATCATCACAATGCTCAATGGTTTGGTTCCAGCTCTTGCAAGTTATTGCAGCATTGCACAAGCTATGAATATCAAGTTTGCTAAAAATCTTTAAGCTGACTTCTAGAGGAAATAGTTTCACAAAATCCCCTTGATTGTTGTGTTTCTTCTGTTTGGAAGATTTAAAGAACAATTTCTTACAAGTAGTTGTTGGAACAGTCTGCTGGTTTTGTTTAGATGATTTCTGTTTACACCCTTTTTTCATAGTTTAGACTTGTTTAAATACCAGTCAGCCTTTCTGAAAAAAATAAAAGTATCAGAAATGAAACTGTAATCAACTCTGTTTAGAAACATTTGCTGCTACTTAATATCATTAAAACACTATTTCTGGCTAAATATCAGTGCTAAATTATCTCTCTGTTTTTAGTGACTGTGAGCACAATCATTTTGGGAATTTTGGCTTTAATACTATTGCTTATTGTTTTTTCTGAATGATACCTTGCCTTTCTTAAGGAACATATTTATAGATATGTGTGTGTGTGTCCACACAGGCAGGCATATTTTTTTCTATTCAGTTAAAATGGAGCATCTTGAAGTGATACACTAACTGAAAAATAGCAATTATACGGAGACAAGTTTTCCAATCTGAGCCAAAGGAAATAATTGCTATCAGATTTTTGCACATACATGTATCCGCCATATGAAACAATTAAGTTTACTGTATTGCTTCAGTGTGAATGTGAACCTGGAAAAAAGGGCAGGCTATAAATCTAATAATTATTATTACTTTATTATTTTACTTTAATTAATATTTAATTATTACTTTATTAATACATTATTAATAGACATTATTACTACTTTATTACTAATACACATTATTTATTTATTTATTTTATTTTATTAGATTTATATACCGCCCTACTCCTGAAGGACTCAGGGCGGTGAACAGCCAGAGAGATAAAACACACAGACTACAAAATTTAAAAACAATATAAAAACCCATTAAATAAATTTGGCCCGAAACAGATTAAAACACCCCCAATGTTTTAAGACAAATTTAAAATGTACAATTAAAAGGGAAGTTAGGCCAGGCCAGCCTGTTGAAATAAAAAGGTCTTGAGGGCACGGCAGAAGGTACGTAAATCCGGGATCCTCCGTATCGCCGGGGGGAGCTCATTTCAGATAGCAGGTGCCCCCACAGAGAAGGTTCTCCCCCTGGGGGCCGCCAGTCGACACTGTTTGGCCGACGGCATCCTGAGGAGCCCCTCTCTATGAGAGCGTACTGGCTGGTGAGAGGCTACTGGTGGCAGCAGGTGGTCCCGTAAGTACCCAGGTCCTAAGCCATGGAGCGCTCTAAAGGTGGTAACCAAAACCTTGAAGCACACCCGGAAGACCACTGGGAGCCAGTGCAGCTCGCACAGGAGAGGTGTTACATGGGAACGCCACGTCGTTCCCATAACCACCCACGCGGCCGCACTCTGCACCAGTTGGAGCCTCTGGGTGCTCCTCAAGGGGAGCCCCATGTAGAGAGCATTACAGTAGTCCAGGCGGGAAGTGACGAGACCATGAGTGACCGTGCATAAGGAGTTCCAATCCAGAAAGGGACGCAACTGGCGGATCAGGTGAACCTGATAGAAAGTCTTCCCGGCCACGGCTGTCAAATGCTCTTCTAAAGACAGCCGTGAATCCAGGAGGACGCCCAAGTTGCGAGCCCTCTTCGTGGGGGCCAACGACTCGCCCCCAATAGTCAGTGATGGCACCAACTGACTATATCGGGGCGCCGGAAACCACAGCCACTCGGTCTTGGATGGGTTGAGCCTGAGTCTGTTTCTCCTCATCCAGATCCGCACGGCCTCCAGGCACCAGGACATCACTTCAAGGGCATTGTTGGGGTGGTCCGGGGTGGAGATGTACAGCTGAGTGTCATCAGCGTACTGATGGTACTTCACCCCGAAACCACGGATGATCTCACCCAGTGGCTTCACATAAATGTTGAACAGAAGGGGCAAGAGGACCAACCCCTGTGGCACCCCACATATAAGGTGCCTCGGGGTCGACCTCTGCCCCTCTGCCACCACAGACTGCGACCGGTCAGAGAGAAAGGAGGAGAACCACTGCAACACAGTGCCCCCCACCCACAACTCTTCCAACTGCTGCAGCATGATACCATGGTCAATGGTGTCAAAAGCCGCTGAGATTATTATTATTACTCTATTCAGTTCCAATTTACATTCGTTTGTTCCTTGAAAACTGGACAAAAGTTTCTATGACTGCAACAAAATTGTTTTGGCTGTCTGCTTGAAGGAAAATATTCCTCTATGTAGAATGGAGCACAGTGTCACTGGCAGACAAAAAAGGCCACTTAGGATGATTGTTTTGCCTGAAGGCAAGGATACATTCATGGTCTATCTGAGTATCATTCATGTGTATTTATTTATTAATTGATTGGTTAGTTTTATATCCTACCTTTTCTTCCAGAACCGAAGAAAGGAAAAATAAAGGAAGATCACCATGGTTTACATGGTGATCTTCCCTTATTTTTTCACAAGAACCTTGTGAGATAGGCTAGGTTGAGACCAGCTGGTCCCAAATGACTGGCAGAGAGTAGATTTGCAATTGGTCTCCCAAGCCAAGTTTAACACTTTCATCCATATTCATATAAACTCCATTGTAAGTCAATTATCCTACATTATGACTGTAGCCTGTAAAAGTAACGATCAGATTCTGAAGATATATGACAGAATAGTATAGATGGCATAGGTGGTGTCTACATATTTATATGTCAAAAAACTGATTTTCTGATTGAACCAATAACTATCATTTTTAAAGTTTTGAATCTTCAGAGTTTTAAATGACTTCTGATTCCTACATAAAACTCACAGCCTGACAAGCATGGTCTGATTCCTTCTGTTACTACAGCTTGACAAATTTGGTAGTGTGGTTGGGAGGAAAATTTAAGTGATGCTGTCAATGAACTTGAGCCATTCTTCTAAAAAAAGAGGCACCCCTTGCTTATCAACTAGCTAAAATACTTTATTTTCTCACAAAAATGTCCCTTAAGGCTTTTGCAGCAAGATGGTGAAAGGGGAAAAACCCACAGAAGCCTGGAATGTCTGGTGGGGCTGATACTGTGTTGTAACCTGGTATTTCAACATCAGGAGAAAAACGCATGAGTACAGGAGCTTGGCATGAAAGGCTGATTTAGTAATAAGCTAAGAAGCTAAAGGTCTTATATAAATGTAAATAAATTTCACCTGGTAACAAAAGAATTGGCAGTTGTTTTGCAGTCACCCAATAAGCAGTCCTTTAATATTAAATGCAATGTGAAATGGAAATATTGAAGATATAAGTACTAGAGTACTTGACTACAGTTTCCCTAGGATTTAAAATTGGGTGGTTTAAAACATTGGGGGAGGGTGTTTCAATGCAAAGCAATTAGCAATATAAACTTCATAATTTTAAAGGGATCAAAAACTATGTTTCTCTCTTTGGGAGTTAGTGACTTTGAACAGAGTCTTGAGGATTCTTTCTAAAATATTTTTTTAAAGTACTGAACCTTACTTTTTAATAGTCATCAAATTTACATACACCTCAAATAAAAATTCCGTGCATTGAATTAGAATAAAAAACACAAACACACTAATTCGCTCCCTCCTGAAATATGTAAGTTTTTTACTTGCACAATTGTAGCTGGGCTGTAATAAAAAGTGAAAATATATGTAGTTTAGGGATGAACTGTGGAGTCCTTAGCACTCCCAGAAGTTTGGTTGTTCACAGGATGGGTTGTGTTTGTGGGTGCATATACAGTTGTTAGGAATGCCAAACTTTAAAAGGAGCCTAGTTTGTAGTTCAGGGTTGAAACGAGGGATCCTTGGTGCTCTCTGAGCTTGGTTTTCTTGCAGACGTTTCATTACCCAGACTAGGTAACATCATCGATGCTGGTTACTTGAGTAATGAAACATCTGCAAGAAAACAACCAAGCTCAGAGAGCACCAAGGATCCCTCATTTCAACACTTGAGCTACAAATATTCTCCTTTATCGGATGGATAAAGATCTTTGTTCTCAAAGCAGGTTTGGGGAAATTTTGGCGTTCCAGAAATCCAAATACCACAGCCAGCTGGAGACTTTTGGCAACATTTGGAGGGTCATGGGGTTGGGCTTGAAATTTTCACTTTTAAAAGTTAGCTACATGTAATTTTGTATCAACATCTGTTTTGCAATTCATAAGAAGTTTGTCTTCTATAAAACACGTTTTCTTAAGGGGCGAGGGACGGAGCACCAAGGACCCCTCATGGCGAATTTTGGATATTATGACGGGGAATTTGTGCACTTTCCATATCAGTTCTGTATAATTTTACGAAACTGAAAGGAATTCGCCTCAGAATGTACGTCAACAGATTGCCACAACCTTCTCGAGACACCTTTCTTCCCAAATGACGGCTAGGAACCCCATTCCCGAATAGCCTGTCGCCGCTATTTAATTGCCCCGCTCCCCAGCTCCGCCCTATTCGGTGATTGGATGCAATCGCGACGTCACAGAGGAACGCAGGAGGCTCGAGGCCGCTCACCTGGCTCCCAGCCCTTCTTTTCCGCTAACGGTTTTAACGGCTTCTCAATTCGAATTTGTTTATTTACTTTTTGTTTCTTCCCCATTGCAAATTACGTAACCAGAGGTTCCCGAAACACCCGCATTTGCCGATAAGCATTTTGGGAGCTGTAGTTTGGTGATGAGGCAGGAATTTCCGTAGTGGATTTGTGGCGCAGTTATGGGCGTGTTTCTCTTAAAAGGCAGCGAGCTATTGGTTACTCCGGAACGGTATGTTTCAGTTCAGCAGATAGGAGGGATATATACAAGAAGGGACGGTACGTTGCTATTTTTTCTTCCCCCTTGTGGAATCTTTCATCCGGGGGGAGGAAATGCGAGAGGCCTGTTACCAAGTCTGGGTTTCAGTTAGTGCCAGTGGACGGGGGCTGCCTTTTGCTGCTGCCGCTCGGGGAGACAGTGATAGGAAGAAGCTCTTTTTTGGGAGTAAGTGTCACAGCGGTGCGCCAAAGAGGTGCCAGTTTGCCTTAGTATGTTTGTGTAGCTGGCTGAGAGGACGAACGGCACTGGCAGCGAGTTCGCACTTCCTTTACATTGAATCAGACCGTCCACTCGCGAAGTTTACCTTTCCTTCCAAGACGGCTCTTTGCTGAAACAAATTTGAATACCTTTTACCTTGATGGGGGCTATTCAAGGTTCTTGGCATGCTTTTACAGAATCTATTACAGCGTCCTTTACCTAGTCATGCATTCAAAGAAACGAGACCGCCCCGCTAGTCTTATTAGGGGACTTGTCTTTTGCAAAAGCTTGGTGAAGAATAAGATTTAATGGACTTCGTTTGCAAACTTAACAACAACAACAACAACAACAAAAGATGTAAAGGTGGAAGGGCTAAAAGAAGTAATGTTGCTTGGTTGAGTCACTTTAAGAGTATGGTTAGAGGAGTCCAGATCATTTCACCAAATCCAGGGTGGATAAAAATTGATTTTTTAAAAAATAAAAAATGGATTTTTAAAAGTTAAATTGGATTTTTAATTTTTTTTATCAAATTTATTTTAATAAAATGCTTTTGGAGTAAAAAATCTATCTAAAGATAGTTTTCTATTTAAGATACATTAATAATTTAGTCTATTCAGCATGAAATGGAGTTTAGTTATGTAGCATGAGGCTGTATATTCTGCAATATTTACATTTTTGGTAGACTTACTCAATGAATCCAAGCTCTACAAGCTGAGATAACATGCACTGCATTGATGCATTCACACAATTTCACAGTAACCATGAGATAAATCATAAAACAAAGTTCAGGCATATTCCTTTATCCCATTGTTTTGCAAATATATGTACACTACAAACTATGATTGTTTGAAGAGAAATGCATCTGTATCACCAGGCTCTAAGTGTGAGGAGGAAGGGCAAGCAGTAAAAATGAAAGTGAAACCTAAGCATCTTATAAATATAACATTAAAGAGCACCTGCTGCCTGCCACATCCCTCACCTTGTGTCACTACTGCATCACCAGCCATCTCATTAAAGTGAATGGGACTGTCGGTGAGTCAACAGGGGTCAGAGGAGGAGCTGCTGTGGGAAGAGATGACAGTTGCTCTTTAAAAATTATAATTTAAATCAAGTTGATTTAAATCAAGCCTTTTTACTAGTGATTTAAATCAAGTTGATTTAAATCAAATCCACTCTGATCAGATCTTATATGCACATTGTAATTTATATGTTGACTGGTAACTTTAATATAGCTTGTATTGTGGTTTGGTTGACAGAAGAATAATTTGGGATTCCAACTTGATCTGGGGTTTGATTTGAGGCGCTCTTGACCAAGGCTTTGATCCTGAGGTCATTTGAAAACTGGAAAGGAATAGTGCCCTCAGATATGTAGATCCCTTCCTAGGTGTGGATTTATTATGAGAGGATATGGTTTCTTCCCTTATCTTGAGAGGATTGCATAGCACTTAGTTGCAAAAAGCAAAGCCCTGGATCTAATCGCAGTTCAGCCATAAAGTTTGCTGGAGGTTCACCTGCTGGTAGCCCCCTCTCAAGTCTAACTTCTAAAAGAAAGAGTAAAAAGTAAAGATTCTAGAGCTGAATGCAAATACTCTTCCCAGAAATTTCTGATGCTATGCAAATGCAACCAGTGACACTGGTTTATAGTAATTTTATTAAAGTGTATAATTGCAATGGTAAAAACTAATTCAAACTATAAAGAAAAATAGTGTAGAAAATAAAAAAGGAAAAATAGAAGAAAAATAGAAAAGAAAACCATGTATGTAGCAAAGAAAAAGAAAAAGTATAAAAGTATTAAAAACTTCAGACTGAATTTGAGCAAGATGGCTGTTCCTCCTCTCCTAGAGTTTTGAACCAGCAGGAGACCCCTATCTTGTCACCTTGTGAGAGGAATAGCAGTCTGAAGTACTTACTTACCAGAGTTCTCAAGTCTCCTGTTTATCTGGTGAGGAATAATCAAAGAGACTTGACGTCTCTTCATTCCACTGCAGTCATCAGCTCTGCTTTCCATACAGCCATTTTCAGTCTAGCATTTCTTCAACCAGAAGCCTTTTGTTTTATCCTCTTTGAATTAATTTTTATGGCATCTTTCAGCATGCTAACCTCTTTTTGAGTTCAGAAGCATACATATATTCATTATAATGTTAAGAAAACAAAGAAGTATTTCTGATACAAATAAACATTTAAAGGAATACAAAGATGTAAAATTCAAAAAGAAAAACCAACGTAAGCAATAAATACAGATGGATAACCATGAAATCTAAAATAGCCAGGTTTACTACTGGAATAACATCTCAGTTTTCAAGTTGTTTCTGAAAGTTATAACATTTTCTTTAACAAGAATGTTTTAGTCATTTTTTATTTCATAAACGCTTGCGATTGTGCTTTCTAATTTGCAGATTACCATTTACTTACAATGGTTGAAAGAAGACTCATACTGATAATATGCTATGTACTTGATTGAGTCCATATATCGTATTTTCCACTAGAGGTCACAATATGCAAGTTCTGTGTAGGAACTCCTGTCCCACAATTGTACTTCTTGAAGTGCATATTGTGTACTATAGTTGTGTATTATAACATACTTGAAATTATAATTATGTTCACTATTTTCTTTTTAGTTTAATGGTTTTTCCAGTTATTTAGATCTATGTAAATCTAAATGGACGACCACAATAAAAAACCACAAGACAATTTTTATATTGTATTTTTGTGTTCAGATTTGATGGATCACAGTTGAAATCATTTAGGAATAATGTTTCATGCTTGTATTTTGACCCATTAGCCATGATGTAGTATAGATGGTCCAAAAAAGGACAAGGCTTTGTATCTTTAATAGGAGTGCACAAATGAATGTACTTAGATATTGTTTGCATGATTATACATATCTTCTGAAGCTCCCATTCTGTATTGCTGCTAGGGTGGAAGAGTTCTGTCTTTAGTAGTTTTTCACTGTCTATTTTATAGATAGTGAATATAGATATAGAAAGTAAATGGAGGTGCTTTTTTGTTTTTGTTTTCCTCCTTTCTCTCTGCCTTAATATGAATATGTATTTAAATTAGCCTTTTTCGTTCTTAATTGGATATCTTAATCAGTATTCAGCATGAGTTGCCATGCATATTTTACTGTGTGTAAAAGGATGAACGGAATGTTCATAGGTAACAGTATTTTCATAGGTAAAACTAAAGAATTTCTCTTTGAAGGAGATAGCTTATTTATACAATGATTTTTCCCATTATTTTATCCTTTTATCTGCTGAGAAATAATTAAATTGTCTATTTCCAGGTTACAGATAAAAACATTTCCAGGAAGCATGCTATTCTGAAAGTAGTTGGTGACCAGTTTAGCATCAAACCAGTGGGTAGTGTTTGCTATTTTTCAGTGTAAAACAAACTAAGTTTGTTTCTAATATTGAATATCCCTTTCATTTTTAGCCTTACATTGAAAGAGGTTAAAATGGTAGAATTCAAAATATGTATATTTACATATAGAGATTGAGGATTAAAAAATAGAAAATACTTTTTCAGAATATACTTTTAAGTCTGTTTTGCATTTAATAACTAAAATACAATCTGAATCCTTGATTTGGTTCACATATTGTAAGCCATAGGCTTGCGTAGCCATAGGCAGGAGACTTGAATCAGGCATATTTTGCTATCCTGTTATTACATCATTTCTGCAAATATATTTTTTGAAGCCCACACATTGATTCAATATTGTGCAAACCCAGGAAAAATCATGTTTTCTTTAAAGACCTGTGAACAGATACCGAAAAAGTATCTGCATTGAATCCAAAGCACATTTACCTTTTCTATTCTTCTAGTTTACATGCTGTAATGACCAACAGGTTCTCCAATTATATTTTTACCTACCGTGATATACCAGCTGAGCCTAACTTTTATTTAAGAATCTGTTACTTCTACTGTTAAAAGAGCTACCTATTTTTCTAGACTTACATAGAAAGTTGAAAAGAGAAATGGCTATTGAAATGAACAACCGAAGTGCTGTGCTTCAAAATACAATCAGCCATTATTTAAAATTTCTCTTTTCATTTCCTAAGAATCTAGTGAATATATTTGTGAGATAGGATTGAAAGAACAGCTATTTATCTTCAGTAATCCAATAGTCTTTAGTTTCTTATTTCCATTATAGCATGAACATTCATGGTGGGTAAAAAACATTTATATGTGTGTCGTGATGTTAGCAAGAAATGTTCTGGCTTGCATATCAGATGTTATATAATTGTGCCATTTGTGCAAAAGAATCATTTGACATCATTGTGGCTTGTGATCATTATTGTTCAGCTCCCCATAAGGAAGCCTGAACTTCTCTGTAGTGGCATTTGGCAGGAGTGTAAATTGACAGAAATACTTCATGCAAGGAATTTTCTTGATCCTGTACTAGTATACCTTATTTGTGGTCTGTGAATGCAATTAATATATAATAAGCATTTTCTCAGTGTAGTTTAAAATAATTACGGTATCTCTCCCAGAATAAGTTGTATTGTAATGGAATCAGTGCACATTAATTAAACCTATTATGTCTTACAAGGTCTTCACTGATATCTGTACTAAGAGTCTTCTTAATTGGCAGATCCACGTGAACCCTTGTTTTTATTGGCCTGTTGAAGATGACCAACTATTTCCATTGGACAGAGATAAGGGGTATCAGTTGTGTCCAGGTGACAGTTTTTCTCTGTTGGTAGACAAATATATCTTCCAGATTCTGTGTACTCCACTGGAAAAGGAAAACCTACTAAGATAATGAGATTTGATGTTGAATCAGTGAGTTTCAGTGCCAAATTGCCTCTTAGAATATAGTCTGACATGCAGTATGCTAAATGAGTCAAATTATGTTTGACTCATGGTAAGTGGTAGCTATTCTTTATCTCAAGTTAGCTGTAATTGCAGGTATTCCTTTCTTCAACATAAAAAAAAATTAAGACAAATCCTGTAACAATTGTACATATGCAAAGTGTACAAATTTATACACACACACACACACACACACATATATAATATATTATATTATATTATATTATATTATATTATATTATATTATATTATATTATATTATATTATATTATATTATATTATATTATTATATATTACACACATATATATTACACACACATATATATATTACATGCACACACACATATATACAGTGGTGGGATTCTGCCAGTTCGCACCTATTCAGGAGAACCAGTTGTTAACTTTCTAAGTAGTTCGGAGAACCGGTTGTTGGAAGAAATCTTACTTTGTTTTTTTCCACTTTACAGGGCTAATCCTGTAAGGAAGGCAGGAAGGAAACAATGTTCTTGTATTGTTAGATAATTGAAATATTAGAGTTTTTTTCAAAATGACAAAAAGTAACAAAAATTGTAATGTTCAAGGACAACACTGTAGCAAACTTCTGTATAGTATTTCAGAGTAAAAGATTTTTTTTTTTTGTCAAAAGTTCATTCCAGATGTAGAATGAAGTAGGAACATTAGCTTTACTAAAATAGCAGGCAATAAATACCTTAAATTTATAGGGCATTAGATTCATAGTATTTAACATAAAATACTTTTTTTCCTCCTGTCTATGAACAGTGTTTGTTTTGTACTAAAAAAAAAAAAAGATACTGTAGCACTTGTGTACATGCCTATTATCATGGAAAAACTACCAGAAGATTATATAGCATATGGATTCATTACATTGTATTGTACAAATTCTTTAAAAAGCGTTCTTTGGAACAGGCAGGAGCACATGAAGCAACCGTTCATTGTTATATTTTCCTGGCTTGCACAGCTGTTTTGAAGCAGCTTCCATCTGTCCCTCTGTGCATGCAGAACTACTTTGTTTAGCAGCAACAATGGGATCAGCTTTCCAAGCAGCAAACAAGCCTGGAAAAAGACATAGCTCCTTTAAGATTAAAGAAAAAAAGCTTCTTGTAGATGCTGCTTTTGATTCCAAGACATGTAATTTGAAAGATTTGCACATTTGTTTAATATACATTTTTCCATAATTCATATTAGGACATCACCAGTTTTAGGCAACTTTAAAAGAAAAAAAAACTTTAGTCACAACAAAAAAATACCTTCCTTCTGTTCCAAAGTAGGGGGCACTATAATGTTTAATGTTTAAGACATGGGTTTGCATTCATCTATAGTTTAAAAGTAGAATTTGGAATATGTTGTAGGTACTGAAATTAGGCTGTGTCAAATATTTAAATGTTTCAGGATGCATCCAGGACTGCCCTGATGTCTGGTAAAATTATTGAATTTGTTTATTTCTTCAATCTATGTTGGTGAGTTTGGGCCGGTCACTTTCTCCCGACCTTAGAAGGAGACAATGGCAAACCCCTTCTGCAATCTTGCAAAGTATACCATAGGGACTATTTGCCAGATGTCAAAAAACTGATCTGAAGGAACAAAATAAAAAGGGTTAAAACAAATAAAACAACTGCAGCAATAATAAGAAACAATAAAAATAATTCCACTGAAATAATTTGAGTTCCAAATCATAACTTTGGGTAGAATTTTATATTTTTAATTCTTCATTTCTTCTACTAAGTAATGTGTAGCAATCTGTGTCAATCCACTGCCATTAAGAGGTTTATTATTTGCAATAGGGAAAATGATAATCGTGGTGCAGAAGACCTGCCAGATCAAATCCGCACAACTCTGCAGTCTACCATGAGATCTCACAGTCAGCCTTAAGAACAATCATCAATCCCTTCTAGCAAAAAATATCTTCCAGAAGGACATTCAGTTATGGAAAAAGCTACCGAAATCCCAGAGAAGGTAGTTTTCAATTTTGGTGTACTGCAATTTTATTCATAGAAATGTTAAATGAATTTTATGATGAATATGCTTTTCACTTATAATAAGAAATATGAGGTTATAGAAAACCTATTTTCAGAGAGGCTGTAGTGGCAGGACTGGGTCAGTAGGGTAAAACGAGTTCCCAACCTCCACCCTCAGGCCATGGCCTACTACTGGGCTTTGGCCTGTTCAGAACCGGGCCACATGAGCGGTGGGCGAATACACATGCACAGTTTCACTTGTGTGAGTGGCAAGTGCTTGTGTGCGAAGCTCCACTTGTGCCTGCCACTCACATAGAACTATTCCCACCCCCCACCCCGGCTGGATTGTCAAGCCAGAAAGGTTGGGGACCACTGGGCTAAAACATAGATCTCAATCTATTATCCAAGATGTCCTCAGGTATTACTGCCTGTCTTCCTATGCCTCTATGCAGGGGTGAAATCCAGCAGGTTCTGACAGGTTCTGGAGAACTGGTAGTGGAAATTTTGAGTAGTTCAGAGAACCGGCAAATACCACCTCTGGCTGGTCCCAGCGTGTGGTGGGAATGGAGATTTTGCAGTATCCTTCCCCTGCCACCTCACCAAGCCACACCATGCCCACCAAGCCACGTCCACAAAACCGGTAGTAAAAATAATTAGAATTTCACCACTGCCTATGCAATATAGATTCAAATCCAGACAGTGAATGAATTCTGTCTGGATTAAATCTTGGATTAGTTTAAATCTTGTGATTACAAGTGGCATCTCAAGAGAGGTGGTTTTGGATGAAGTTACTTCTGTCATATAAAGAGTGTCATTACCCAGTGAAAGAGTTAGGTTGAAAATATATCTCTTTATTGTGAGTAGAATAGTCTTTGTTGAACTTGCTGGGAACAACGTTTTTAGAAGTCTTTGTTGGGGCTGGAGATTAAAAGCAACATGGATAGGGAGCAGTATGGTATTACGAGAGGGGAAGTTTGTTTTTAACAGTGTTATGAAATGTCTAGCAAGGGATATTTTATCATCCTCTCCTCTCCTGTCCTCCCTGCCCCTCCCCTCCCCTCCCCTCTCGAGAGCCAGTTTGGTCTAGCGGTTAAGGCTCCAGGCTAGAAAGTGGGCGAGTATGAATTCAAAAGTCCCACCATAGTCATGAAAGCCAGCTGGATGACTTTGGGCTAGTCCCTTTCTCTCAGTCCAGCTGAACTCACAGGATGGTTGTTATGGGGAAAACAGGTAGAGGAAGGTGTAATAAATATGTTTGCCAGATCTTTACATGTATAACTTGTAAAAACAATAAAGGCAGGATACAAATAAATGATTCTTGGCAGTTTGCCTACTCCGAATCAAGAGCAATACTCAATAAAAATCAAGAAACTAATCATAGTCATCTAGAAGAGAACAGAAACCAAATGAAACAATAATAATAACCTGTAGCCCTCAATTTATGATCACAATTGAGTCTGGAATTTTGATTGTAAGCTGTTTTGGTCATAAATTGAGTTATCACATGACCAGACTCAATTTTACAACTACTTGTACAATGGTTATTGAATTACCATGGTCATTTAGCAAATGATTTGCTTAATGCCCATGGCAAAACTGGCACAAAACACGATCACATGACTATGGGATGCTACAACTAATCATAAATGTGAAGCAACTGCAAAGCATCTGAATTGCTATCACATGATTGTAGGGGTAATGCAGCAATCGTAATTTCCAGGACAGGTTGTAAATAACTTTGAGTCATCATAACTTTGAATGGTTGTTAAGCAACTGATTATGAGTCAAGGACTACCTGTACTCTACTCCAAGGCCAGGGAGAACAGTTAGGTTTTCATGAACTTTCAGAACATCCATACCTGAGTTCACTAGCACATGATGCAGTTCCATAAATATAGGAATATAAGGTATATTGTAACAATATTATAGCAGTTACGGAAAAAGATTATCATTGATCTCATGTGCATTATTGTTCTTTTTTTAATCTCTATGCAAAATACTTAATAATATATTTACTTTTTTTTTTTTTTTAGTTTACTCTTCCTAAAAAAGAAGAATCAAGGCCTCCTCAGCGAAAAAGACAGCTACCAGAATGGATGCTGCCAGCAGATCTAATGGTTTCAAGCCAGTCAACCTTAGCCTCTAAAAATGGTAAGTGTGGAGATTTGCTATGGAAGTCATCATGGCAGTTGCCTTTACTAAATTCTCCTTTTGGAGTTTGGAATAATAGAATTTCATTTACTTTTGCTTGAAATTCGATACTGTGTCAGCAACAGAATTGAGATATGTAAATACGAAAATACTCCACTGGGATCAGATAAAATCAGCATAATCAGGATTTTGTACTATGTTGATTATAAAGTATTGTTGCTTACACATATAGGACCAACTAACTATATTTCTAATTAAGTAATGAAATGGTAATCAGACATGAGATTGATGATGGTTCCCATTAAAAGACAACACACTATTATTAGTTGATTTTCTTCATCTGAAAAAAGTTTTGAAAGAATAATGAGCAAAGATTCTTCAATAATCTGTTTGGTTTAGTATAGAGAGAGAACAAAAGAGATTGTATCTGAATTCTAATGTATTTTTAGCGTTACCTTAAATGTAAACTGCATTTTAAGAATTTCAGAACATCAGAAATTAAAATAATAGTTATGTAAACAGAAGTTGTAAACTGTATGTCCTTAAACATGCATACATCTATTAGATTGTACAAAGGTATAATTAATATTAGTAGAGTGTTTACACATGGTAAATCTTACAGAATCTAAGTCTTCTAAATTATTGCTTGTGCCTAGGTAAAGACTTATTTAGTAATGACTGTCTATGTAAATTACATTGAACAGTCTTAAAGTCTTAAAATATTTTATTTTCTTATTAATATGATAATCCAAAACCAAAATGCACTTTTTTTACCTTGCTTTGAATGGAGCCAATATACTTTCCATATTTTGTAGCTTTTATTATAAACCAAGGAGAATGGTTCTGAACATTGATAATAAAAAAGACAGTTAAAATTAGTATGCACTAGTCGGTAATAATTTTTTTTAGAAATAAATGTCTAACGTTATGAAGAAGGCGGGGAAAATTTTGTCACTTATACAGTAGGATATAATTTATTCATTAAAACATGCTGTTTAAGTAACTATAGATATACTGCTGAAAATTGTGTCTGTTACAATGATGAATGCTTTTTTAATACATAGAATAGAATAGAATTCTTTATTGGCCAAGTGTGATTGGACACACAAGGAATTTGTCTTGGTGCATACGCTTTTGGTGTACATAAAAGAAAAGATACATTTGTCAAGAATCATTAGGTACAACACTTAGTGATAGTCATAGGGAAACAGTCAATATAAATCTTAAAGATACCAGCAACAAGGTTACAGTCATACAGTCATAAGTGGGAGGGGATGGGTGATAGGAAGGATCAGAAGATTAATAGTAATGCAGACTTAGTAACTAGTTTGACAGTGTTGAGGGAGTTATTTGTTAAACAGAGTGATGACGTTCGGAAAAAAACTGTTCTTTTGTCCAGTTGTTCTGGTGTGCAGTGCTCTATAGCGTCATTTTGAAGGTAGGAGTGGAAACAGTTTATGTCCCGGATGCGAGGGGTCTGTAAATATTTTCACAGCCCTCTTTTTGACTTGTGCAGTATACATGTCCTCAATGGAAGGCTTGTTGGTAGTAATTGTTTTTTCTGCAGTTCTAATTATCCTCTGAAGTGTGTCTGTCTTGTGGGTTGCAGAACCAAACCAGACAGTTATAGAGGTGCAGATGACAGACTCAATAATTCCTCTGTAGAACTGTATCAGCAGCTCCTTGGGCAGTTTGAGCTTCCTGAGTTGACTCAGAAAGAACATTCTTTTTTGTTCTTTTTTGATGACGTTTTTGATGTTAGGTGTCCATTTTAAGTCTTGAGATATGGTAGAACCTAGAAATTTGAAGGTCTCTATGGTTGATACTGTATTGTCTAGTATTGTAAGAGGTGGTAGTATGGGAGGGTTTCTCCTAAAGTCCACCTCAATACATGTAGGTATTGGTGGAGTAGTGTAACCTATAATAGTATTTCTCTACATCAGCAACTTTAAAATATGTGGATTTTAACTCCCAGAATTCCCTATCCAGCATGAGGTACACTGACCTATAAAATATACATATTGTTATACATATAACTATTACATACATATAGACATATAACTATATTATAATTATATTATGTTTATGTATTTTGTTACACACAGACACACAGACACAGATACATATAAATTGTATCACCTATGTCACACAATGATTTTTGGGTTCTTCGGTAAAGCATTGCTTTGTGCAGACTATTACATTACATCTCATATTAGGTATATTATTCAGTTTTGCATAGTATTTTACAAATCAATAGAATTGGTCTTAAATAAACAGAATTTTGATGCATTGTAATTTACTCTTTTTAAAACAAGGCAGCATGAAATCTTTGTGATATATGCAGTTATTCATAGCTTAAATGATAAAATTGTTCTGTTCAGCAGAGTTTTTTTTTTAAATCAAATTAGGTAGTAATGAAGAAGTAAAGCCAGGTGTAAGTAAAAAGCAGAAGATTCTTGAAAGTGAAGATTCTGCCCTTCTAAAAGAGGTATTCTTTTTTATTTTTTTCAATTAATACTTCATATTATTAATATACAAGGACAAGATTATACTGGGTTTTGCTATCCTGTTCATAGAAATGCATTATAATGATCACTATCAGTAGAGACAGTCCAAATGGTTCATCCTGTTTTCTACTTCCGAAGCACATAACAGCCAATTCATTTATTTCAAACATGTTCCTATTAGAAGAAAATATCTGATGTTTTGTGCTAATTTTTTTTCTCATGAAAGTCAGATTGCTTTTCATACTATTAGAAATGTCAAAATTGAGGTATACCTATTAGAGACATGTATAGCCAATATTAGAACTTTAAATGTCCACACTTTTACTAGCTAGTGGGAATTATTCTTGAAATTATTTTTGCATATTCCTAATAAGGCGTTCCATTGACTTCCCTTTTCTGTTCCTTCTTTAAACTAAATTCTGCTTATGACTATTCTCTTCTATCCAAATTTATTTTTTTAATCTCAATTTCAAGATCTTACTGTCAAAATCAGTCCCTTTTCTCATACTTCACACTATCTATTTTGCACAGATTTATGATTTTACTATCTTCTTGTTATTTGGGGAGATGCTGTTTGCTAATTTTCAACTTTCTTTTAATTCCCGCATTTTTCCTTAATATTGTTATGTTTTATTCTCTAGCATTCATTGTTCTCATTGTTGTTTTTCTTTATGTACATAAGATCCATGAAGCAGGGACCTGTCTAATTTTGATTGTGTTATGTCTTGTATATTGATTAATTAATCTATCTTAAATTAACTCTATTTTCACATAAATAACAATAAATTATAATCTGTTTCATGAACAATTTCATACCAATTTCCACATGATATAGGGGGTATTTACTAAAGATGTTGCAAAGAAAATACCACAGAATGGAAGTAAAACAATATCTCCGAAAGCTGAAAGTTTGTTCGAACAATTTAACAATGAGCTGGATGATGAAGAGCTGGACCTGGACCTCAAGTCAGATGGACAAGCGTCTCAGCCTGCTCAAGTACATACAACAAATATAAAAGAAAACAAACTGGAGAGTGTTAACTCTAAAACCAGGCAGGTTTATAAGGAAAAGCCGTCACAATCATTACTCAATCAGGGTGATATTCAAGAGACTACTCTGAAACAGGCTGCTGGAATAGATACTTCAAATATGACGGAAAGTCAAGAGATGCAACAGAGTTCTCACATAAACAAACCCCTGAGGACTGCTTGCCAATATGGGGAAAGCTGCTACAGGTAAAATCAAGTTGTTAAACTTCTAAATGGCAATTTACTGGTGCATAACCATACAGTCTGTGGACGGGGGTTCTTTTTATTTTATTTATATTAAAACCTAAGCTGTTGACAAGACTGTATTTTGCTCATGTTAAATACTTTGCTGAGTTAAGGCAAAAATAACTTTATAGCACTTAGACTTATTTACCATTCCAACGTGCTCTCTGAGTGGTTTACAAATGTCAGCATATTGCCTCCAACAATCTGGGCCTTTATTTTACCGAACTTGGAAAGATGGGAGGGTGAATCAACTTTGAGCCGATCAAGATTGAACTGGCTGTGGGTAGAGTTAGCCTGCAATATTGCACTGTAACCACTGAGCCACCAGGGCTCCTTTAAGGCACTAACAGTTATACAACTTGAGAGTTTGTTTAGCATACTTTCATTTGTTTCCATTGATTAATGCTGTTCACCTTCTCACATTTTTAAAACAGAATTATTATTTTTTTTTAAATTTGATTTATATGCCGCCCTTCTCCGAAGACTCAGGGCGGCTTACAATGTGCTCAGCAATAGCCTTCATCCTTTTGTATATTTATACAAAGTCAGCTTATTGCCCCCACAACTGGGTCCTCAATTTACCTACCTTAGAAAGGATGGAAGGCTGAGTCAACCTTGAGCCTTGGCGAGATTCGAACCCTGCAGTAATTGCAGGCAGCTGGTCTTAATTTAAGTTCTTTTAATATGCAATTCCAAGATCCTTTCCTCAGAATACTGTGTATCTAAGAATTGAAATATTGAGCTGCACAGCTTACTCAGTATTATCAGTATTGCAGTTACATGATGTGCTGATGTGTAATTTACATGTGTAATACTGGAAAAGAACATCAGTGTTCAAAGTAATGTTCAGGAATTTTTAAGAATCTCTATATTCTATAAATGATAAGTGCAGTTTGTTCATACAGTATGCACAAAGTTTAAACTGCTCCAGAAGTTTAGACTGGAAGAAATGGTATGCAAAACAAAATATTGAAATACGATGGTTCTCTACTTATTTTATTCTAAATGGATTGAGTTTCTTTATAAAGAAACATATGGGAAAGAACTATCTATACAGGTAATCCTCGATTTAAGAATATTCATTTAGCAGTCTTAAATCATGTTTTTCAGTGCTGTTATTAATTCTGAACAGTTAATAACAGCACTGAAAAACATGACTTAAATTCAGTCCCTTTTTTAAGGACTATTGCAGTGTCTCTGCAATCATCTGATTGCCATTTGGGCACTGGGATGTATTTATGACAGTCATAACATCCTGGTATCATGTGATTGCTCTGCAGCCTTCCCAGCTGGCTTCCAACAAGCAAAGTGAATGGGGGAAGCTGGATTCACTTAATGACAATGGCAAAAAAGGTTATAAAGTTTGTCAAGATCATGTGATGATTCACTTAACTGCATTATATTGTATTAGTGATCAGAGTTCCAGTCCCGTGTGGTGTTAATTCAAGAACTACTTGTATATTGAAAATATATAAGAAAAATGGAATGCATCAAATTATTATTGCAGCCATTTTATTTGATTTCATATACCTATCAAAATAATTTATACCATTGGAGCTACCTTATATTTATTGTTCTGAAAAACATCTCTGAACTCTTAAATAACTTCCATGGAAATGTGTATGGCTGTTACTAGTATTTGTTTATGGGTACTACAATTAGTTGCATAAGAAGTTTGTTTTGAGTTTTCTGTCAAAACAGTTTGTCTCTTTGTAACAATAACACAATTACAAATAAAGAGTATTTAGTCATATATAGTTGCATCTTAAGAGGCTTCTGTTTGTAAATGCTGTAAAAACACTTCTCTCAAGGTGAAGTTGATTCTCATTCTTTTAGAATAAATGGTAGGGAAGAAGAAAAGGTAGAATGCCTCTTGAAGAGCTGTTTCTCTTTGCACACGAAAAGTAGACTGAAGCAATTAAAAGATAGTCATTAACTATTGACTCTTGAACAAAATCAGGTGCTAGGAGAAGTGCATAATATCAGATTGTGTTTTCACTTTTAAGTTTTTCCCATCACATAGGGAGGGTTTCTATAGTGATTCTTACATGGTATTACAAGCATGCTGTATATGCTTGCAATCTATATGCATGCTTGTAATACCACATAAGAATAGATGAACATAAATAGTATCCTGTTAAATTAGAGCCCTGTTCCATCTTGTCCAGCAGTTGGTTCTCTCAGTGGCTAGCCCAACTGCCCAAGGAAGCCTACTAGTCTCCCAGCAGATGGCCCTCAGAGGCAGTCACATTGCCATCAAGGCCAATAGCCAGCGATCCCCATGACTTCATTGAATTGGTTCAATCTTTTTTTTGAAGTCAGCCAAAATGGTAGCCAGCTCCACATCTTGTGGTAAAAGTCTATGTCTTGACTGATGTTTCTGTGTTTTGATCAGGTTTGATCTCCAGTGCAGTAGATAAATATAGCAAATCCACTGTGATCAAGTACATTCAGAGCTTGGAGAGCTGGAAGGATAGAGAAATTTGTCTGAGTTTTAAAATGCACAATATTGCTATTCTTCATGTGTTCACCAGGACTAGCATTGCCAGATGGATGCTACAGATAGAAAGAGAGAGAGAGATAATATAGAGCTTTATAATTCTGTAAAAATTTACTGCCTTTTCAGTTTACACTATTTCAAGCTTATCTAACATAAGATTTATGAGAGACAGTATATTCTCTGTCTCCAGAAAATTTAATTTAATTTATTTTATATAAATATATAAAAAATATAAAAGCAAAATCCACTTGCTCAGCATGAAATCTCCAGAATGGTAAAGACTACAAACTTGAAATTTGGCACGTACTTTCCTCTTGGCTTCAAGACATCCCCTGATAATAAGCCCAATTGGGCTTTTGAGCGTATGGCAATAAGGCCAAGCGCTTATTTCAGGGTTCAAAAAAATATAAGACAGAGTCTTATTTTCAGGGAAACAGGGTATATATCAAACATAAGATCACCTGTCTCACTTATAGAGCGACTTGAGGCAGTTACCTTTGTTATGAAATTCCCTCGTATTGGCATACAGTTCTATTTGGCTAACCCAATTAGGGTAGGTTTCAAAAAGAACTATTTGCTTCCTTTAATTTTAGTTGAAATAGTTTTGTAATATATACTCCTAGTTTTTATTGTTTTATTGTTCTTTGCATTAGTTTAACTGAATTAATGGTGTTATGTTTCTCCTAGCTGCATACATTTGAAATATATCTTGATTGTTGACGTAGTATTTCTAAATTTCACAGAAAGAATCCTATACATTTCCAGCAGTTTAGTCACCCTGGTGATAGTGATTATTATGACTCAGAAGCTTTAACTCAGGTTGATAATGATAGGCCTGAATGTCCTTATGGAACAGCTTGTTACAGGTAAGAATGATCATTTAGAATAATTTCAAAGTTTGGATGATAAATATTTCACTTGCATGTTATGTCATTGAGAGATGCCAAATGTACTTTCTACTGATTGACTCAAACGTAGCACGTATACAGGTATTCCTTGACTTACAACAGTTCGTTTAGTGACTGTTCAAAGTTACAACGGCATTGAAAAATATGACTTATGACCACTTTTCACAATTAGGACCTTTGCAGCATCCCCATGGTCATGTGATCAAAATTCAGAGGTTTAGCTACTGGTTCATATTTATGAGTATTGCTGTGTTCCAAGGTCATGTAATCATCTTTTGTGACTTTTTCACAAGCAAAGCCAATGGGGAAGCCACATTCACTTAACAACAGAGTTACTAATTTATCAACTGAAGTGATTCACTTAATAACTATGGCAAGAAAGGTTGCAAAATTGGGCAAAACTCATTTAACAAATGTCCCACTTAGCAATAGAAATTTTGGGCTCCACTGTTGTAAGTTGAGGACTACCTCTATTTATGGGAATCGTGTAGACCCAACTTTTTACCTGGATAAATATTACATATGATTATCTAAGTTGTTATTAAAGGTTCACTACAACCTAAAAAATCTAAAATACAAGATTTCAAATCACAGAAAAAATACCAAAGCAAAAAACAGTGAAGACCATTCACCCAACCTGTTGCTGGAAGAGATTATAACAGTTGCAATCAAATACTGTATGAGTGAATCCAGCTAGACACAAGTGAGAGCCTTTGTTGGAGCCTACCTTGTGACAATAAGAGTAGTGAGAAAGGCTTATTTCTCCATCCTTATTGCATTTTCCAAGTGTTGGCCAGTAGCCCTGTTTAGGGCAACCCAATCTCTTCTGAGTTAGGTGGGATTGGTGGAGCATCTGCAAGGTACCTGTGGTGGGTGTTCTTCATACCTGAGAGATAAAATAGCTTAAGTGATTTGACCAAGTAGAATTTTGCTATATATTCCAATTCTTTTGGTTCTAAGTCCTACTTTTAATTTACACTTTACAGCAAATTATCTTTTACAAAGAGTCTTGGTGGGCCATATTTTAAAAGCATAAGTTCCATAGAGTACATTTTAAAAAAATGTGTATTACAAAGGACAATTATCCAGTATTTTTTTTTAATTAAACAGTTGCTTACCTCCCATTCAAAGCTTTTTAAAACTTGATTTTACATTGTGGCTTTTCTATATGACATATCTGGGATGATGCTGTTTTACAAAACAATGATGGAAATTTCTAAAATTTTGGAATATTTTAGCTGAAAGCTAACCCTTTAGAGCATGGGTGTCAAACTCACAGCACCACATTGCCGTCACGTGACGTTTAGTGATGTTTTTCCCCTTTGCAGAGCTGTGATGGATGTGACGCATCTGGCCCGCAGGCTGTCAGTTTGACACCCCTGCTTTAGAGCATGTGCTATTGGGTAGAGTTCTTGTCTATCCCTTCAGTTTTTGTTTGATTTACATATCAGCTATACTATCTGGATTCTTCTTTTTGTTTGCCATTTTTGTCTTTGGTGCAAATTCATGCAGAATTTGTTGATTCTTTTTATCTCTGGAAGATTAACTTTTTTTTATTTAAAAAGTTTTAACAATCATTACAACAATTAGTTGTAAAATTAGTCCGATATTTGTTTTGAATATAGTCAGTCCATCTTCTCCATTCCAATATATATCTTTCATTTGAATGGTCCTTCAAATACGCTGAAATTTTGGCCATCTCTGCTAAATTCACTACTTTTAGTGTCCATTCTTCAATAGTAGGCAAGTGTTCCTTCTTCCAGTACTGTGCCACCAAGAGTCTGGCTGCTGTTATTAAATTTAAAATCAACTTAGTCTGTATAACAGTACAATCTGTAATTATGACTAACAAAAAGAACTCCGGAGTAAATTTTAACTTCTTTTTGAGAATATTTTGAATAATCCACCATATTTTTATCCAAAATGCCTTAATTTTTTTACATGTCCACCATATATGATAATACGTGGCATCATCACATTCGCATCTCCAACACTTAGGTTGCACACTTGGATACATACAGGCTAACTTTTTAGGATCCAGATGCCATCTATAAAACATTTTATAAAAATTCTCTCTTAAATTTTGGGCTTGCGTGAACTTCACATTTCTAACCCATATTTTTCCCATGTTTCCATCATTATTGGTTCTTCAATATTTTGTGCCCACTTTATCATACAGTCCTTAACTAACTCCGTTTCTGAATCTATTTCTACCAACGCATTATGCAACCTTTTTATGTGCATTTGATTTTGATCTCTAATCTGTTTTACCAGATTCTCCTCATTTTGCAGAAAACCAATTTTCTGATCTTCTCTCCATCTAGCTTGCAACTGTACATATTGAAACCATGTTCGAATTGTCCCTTTTTCTCTTAGTTGATTCAAAGATTTTAATTGTAGTATACCTCTTTCCTTGTTAAGAAGCTCTTTATATGTAATCACATCCTGCCTTTGCTCTACACTTATATTCTCTATCGCGTGTCTGGATATTGCCCACAATGGTAACTTCTCGTTTAGTTTATACTTATACTTTTTCCAGACACACAATAGAGCATTCCTTAATATATGACTTTTAAAAGTCTTGTCCACTTTCTTATCATATAATAAGCATGCCACCCATAAACCAAATCATATCCCTCAATATTCAATATTCTTTCTTCTGTTAAATTCATCCAATCACTCATTGCTGATAGGACAGCTGCCTCATAATATAGTCTTAAATTAGGCATTTTGAGACCTCCTCTCAGAATCCTCAGGCGCAACAAGGACAAACCACTAAGAACAACGTTGGAATGTAATGCTGGTTTAATCTTGTCCGTCCCGAAAACGCTGCAGTCGTAACGTATATCCTGCATTATTTTTTGTTTTATTCTCGGTCTCTTCCCTGCCCAAACAAAATTATTAATACCCTTCTGCTATATCTTCAAATTCTCAACTTTTTAAAGTATTGGTATCATTTGAAAAAGAAACAAAAACTTAAGCAAAACATTCATTTTTACTGCTGCTATTCTTCCTAACAAGGATAATTGTATTTTTTTCCAGTTTTTCATCTCTCTCTGTATTTTTTGCCACAATGGATCATAATTATACTTAAATAATTTCACATTTAATGTCATCATAGAGACCCTTAAATACTTTACTTTTTTTACAATTTCAAATCCTATTAATCTTTCTAATTCTTCTTTTTGATTTGTAGTCAAAGTTTTAGTTATTATCTTCGTTTTCCCTGCATTTATTTTAAATCCAGATACTTGTCCATATTGATTAATTATATCCATTAGACCTACAACCGACTGTAATGGTTGGGTTAAAATAACCAAGTCGTCTGCGAATGCTCGTAATCTATAGTCATACTGCCTAATCTTAATTCCACTTATTTTGTCCAACCCACATATCTTACTTAACAAAAATTCCAAAGTCAAGATAAACAATAATGGAGACAAAGGGCATCCTTGTCTTGTTCCTTTTTCTATATTAAAAGTATCTGTTAAACTACCATTAATTATTATTTGCGTTGTTTGTTTCTGATATATTGCCTTAATAGATTTTGTGAAATGTTCTCCAAACTGCATCTTTTCTATTATTTTCAATAAAAATTGCCAATTCAATCGATCAAATGCTTTCTCCGCATCAAGAAATATCAGTACTGCAGGGATTTGGTTGTTCTTCCCCAAATAGTCCAATAGGTTAACAACTTGCCTTACATTACTCTTCATTTGTCTACCATTTATAAAACCAGTTTGATCATTATGAATCATTTGTTGCATGACTGTCATTAACCTATTTGCTAATATTTTAGCAAAAATCTTGTAATCTGTATTTAAGAGTGATATGGGCCTATAATTTTTTGGCTGGGTGTGGTCTTGCTCCTCCTTTGGAATCAGAGAAATATAAGCTGTCCTCCAAGATGGGGGTACGTCTCCTCCAGATTGTATATTAGTAAATAATTCTTTGAGTGGTCCCACCATTTCTAACTGCAAATGTTTATAATAAGCAGCTGTCAAGCCATCCGTCCCCGGAGCTTTACCCACTTTCAACTGCTTAATTGCAAACATAATCTCCTCAGAGGTTAGATTAACTTTTTATTGACTTTCCTGCAGAGGAAATTCTGTTACACTGAGGTGCCTACGGCAACAAGAATGCCTTTCAGAAAGAGGATCTGAAAATTTTCCACCACTAATGAGCATTCATTTTGCTTCATTGATTTAGCAGAAAGACACAGCCAAGGCTTTTGCTCATTACCAGTAGCTCACTAAAAGGTCACAATGGATTGTTCTTCTTACTTTCCTTACTTCCCATCATAGGAAATAAATCTTATCGTGACTTCAACAGCTTTGGATTTCATAATAATAATTTCAGTGCAAAAGCCGTCTAACTGACCTTCTATTGTGATCCTCAGCAAAGTTGGGTTTAATGGTTCAAGCCTCAGTAGATGGCATTCAACAATCCACACTGGGCAAACCTATTGTTCTTCCCTCAAAGCTGAAGAATAGCAAGTCAAACTCACTTATTCCCCCCCACCCCGGCAAATCTATTACATACCTTACAGCAAAGAAAAATTCTCCATTGCTTTATTTATGGAGCCTCCAATAATGACAAAAATCAAGGGATAACAGTTACTTCTCTTGTATTCTGGGCACACTATTTTGTTGCAGGCTTCTAAGAAGACTCATATATTGCAATTCCCCCCCACCCCCCACCCGGCCCAATTACTCATCAAGGAGAAATCTTAGGCATAGGAGCCTATGATAGATGGAGAAATACTTGGAAGCTTTACCAGTAAAGATAGAACTGGCTAAAGTTGCCACTCCCCTAGGAAATGAATGGTTCAAAAGTTATTTTTTCAAAATGAGAAAATCATATTTCCAGTATGATTATAATTGGTGTGCTTCCCTTTGAAACAAAGATGAAGAATTGTTTGCTTTGTCTTTTATTTTTCTTTTCATTTGAAATTTCAGGTGATTAGATGGAAACTCAGGTTCATCTTCTCTAACTGTTTCTCTTTGCAGAAAAAATCCACAGCACAAGTTGGAATATAAACACACAGCTCCTCCAGGTAAAATGCTTTTATTCTAATGTATATGAAGAACAGATCTTTCTTAATGTAACTAATGAGGTAAAATATAAAAACTGTGCCGATAGAGATTACACTGGGATTAACAGTGAAAAAATAAAGATAATTACACTGGGATTAACAGTGGTATAAAGATGATTACACTGGGATTAACAGTGGAATGATAAAAGAAAAGGTTGAATTAGATTATATAAAAAGAAAATATATCAATGGATATAATGTATTAATTTTTATTAAGATGGATGGTATCATTTGAGAAAATTGATAGCTATAATAATTGGGATATTGTTTAAATACATATAACAATTGTAATAATTTGAACATTTTTCACTTAAGCAAAAAAAAGAAAATTGAAATAATGTATGATTATGATTTATAAACAAAAATTACTTAATTGGTGTTCATATAAATGGTATGGTTAAATAGATAGAATTTAGGGAAATAATTGGGAAACTATTAAATAGCATTATTTGAATTAAGAACTATGCTTAAATGTTAAATTGCTATATTTTTAAGATTAGTGATAAGATTTAAATTTGATAAAGTAATAATGGAATAAAGATTTCATGAGCATTACATGAAGTAATAAATAAATGTAAGGAAGTTTTAGAAATGGAAATAACTTTGGAATATAAACATGTTTGAACTGTATTGTTAATAGTGAGGATTTAGGGTAAGAATTGTGAAATGTATTATTAGGTATTAATTGAATTAAGATTTAAGGTGGGTTAATAGAAGGGTAATTCTATTGATTAAGTAAATATGAGTAAACTTTTTCTAAGATGGTATTAGTTGAAATATATGATTTAAGATTAAGAAATACGTGTTATTGCAAAATAGAATATATAAAATTTTGTTAAAGATGACAAAAAATTGAACAAATTGATGACCGGATCAAAGCTCTGTTCCGAAAAGATGTAATTTGTATGTTTGGGGAAAAAAAAACTTTTTGCAAAAAAAAAAAAAAAAGACTGTGCCGAGGTAGTACTTTGGAAGTGTTGTTGCTTCTGTAGTATGGTGCAATTCTGCTGGAATGGGAATTTATGTGATTTTTGGAAGTTCAAGATAGTTTGATTTGGCTTTTGACTATAAATTAAACAATCAAAAATAATGTTGCTTGTTAAAACTACTAACATAATACATTAAAATACACTGTATTTTAGTAAAATTAACAGATATTAAAGACTGAACAGAAGTGTCATTTGAAGCAAGTTTGGTGAGCATTCTGGAAATCTCAAATTACTTGCCAGCTAACAAAAAGGGTTCTCTTCTGAGCTACGATACATTTGAATTACTATAAACACTTTTAGGTCCAATGGTTAAGCCAAACAAAAAGAATTCATGGCAAAATTGTTAATTTTTGCATCCAGCAGAATATTAAATCAAGCAGATGTAAGGACTTATCCATAAATTGGCAAAATGTATTAACTAAGCAATTGGCAAGGGAGAAGGATAAGCTGGTCAGTTATGATAAGAGTGGAGAATTATATTTAAAATATCACTGAATTCTGTTGTCAAGGATGAATTGCTTTAGGTTTAGCCAAACTTTCTTAGAACCAAATGAGGTAGCTGTTAAACTGTAAAATTTAAAGCTGCTGTAGATTACTAGCTGCCTTCCATAATGACATAAATTCACAAGGTTAAAGAACTCAGGCAACTGTGAATGAAAACTAATATGAGCCAAAATTTTAGGGAGCAAAGCTGTATGTGAGACTCTACAAAAATTAGACCAGATCCTAATCTTAATGTGGAATTAGATACTCATCAAGGATTTTGCAGCAGGGATTTAAAAAATTAAATTAGACAGTTTTGATATAATTATAGTAACACATTTGCATTCCATATAAAATATCCTGATATATTAAATATAATTACACAGATTTTATTCTTCTTGTGACTGGAGTAAAACTATTGCATTATCAATATATAAAAAAGGAGCTTACTGTATATAGTAAGAAAGATACGAGGCAACTTTGGCAGGCAGGAGAAGGGTATAAAAAATCAAGATGATGGGCATGACAGCCTTTTTAAAAATATGGGATGAGATACATGAAAAAGGAGTGGGACTTTGATTATGTAATTTTTGTTGCCAGGATGCTTTTGTTTATTAGCCCCACCTGTGTGAGTGTCTCTGGCCAGCTATATTCCAGTCGTGTCCATAAAAATAGCTTGAAAACAATAAAGTATGAATTTGCCATGGCAGAGTAGAGTATTTCAAACCCTTAATCCCAATAAAAAACAGTATGAAACAATAATGCATCTAGGCCCCTTTCCTTTTTGCCACAAATCTTGACAAAATTTGAGTAATACAGTCCCCTAGTAGTAAGAGGCAAAAAGATCTGTTTTGGTTCTTTCATTCTAAAAACACTTCAATCTCCTTTATAACCTAAGTTGGCATGAGATGAAGTCTGCAAGCTCTTAACCTCTAAAGTTGTCAACTGTGATAAAAAGAAAACAATTGTTTTCTCCCAAAGTCCTATCATCTGCTGTTTCCTGTAAAAATCAGTGGTGTTAGTATCAATTTTAGGTACTTAACTATTTGCATATTTCTTTTCAAGTATGAACAATCAAGTTTATCCAGGCCAAGAGCTGTCATCACTTCCCATGGTTTGAATCCTGTCTTTCAGTTTCCCAATTGCAAAGCAATGTTTACATCCCATCTCCAACTTCTTACTTTATAGTCACATGCATTCCATGAAATTTGTCCTTTGACGGGTTTGCTTCTTTGTAAAGTGTTTAGAATGTACACTTGGACCCATCTGTCATAAACAGGTGTTCTCCTTAAATGCTTTTAAAATGAATGGAATGTCAAACTGGTGGCTATGGTATGAGTCAGGAATAAAATTTTCAAGAATTACTGATGCATCTTTCCTAAAGATTAAATATCACTATGGATGCATAAGGTGATTGGTTTATTGGGTAAAAAAATCTGAAACTGGAAGAGCCCTGATACAGAACATGTTTGGCTGTTCAGTGAACCAAAATAAATAAAAGAAGTTACAAAACCTCTTCCTGCGATTTGGGGGCGATATGAGAATGGTTACAACTCCTCCAAAGAGGTGCAGATAAGTAGGAGAATTTTTATAGGTGTTCTCTTTCAGTTTTCAGCTTTAATAAATTTCATAGCAGTTTGGATTGTTTTATTGGTAATAATTTCTTTTTCTTTTCTCTAGAATCTGAAAGAAGGCAGACAAGAACAAAAGTTACAAGAAAAGGTGAGATTCTGTACATTTTCAAAAAGCACTGGCCTATAAGCATAGGTGAATTCAGTAATTAGCTTTGGTCACCATCCTACCCAGATAAATTAGTATAAAAATTACTAAATCCATCATTATAAAACAAAGATAAAATGGCTTCGAGGGGAAGTCCTAGTTTGTTTATATAGGTGATACTGTTCAGATACCCTATAAAATTAGAAAGGAAGTTCATTTTTCTCAGTTTCCTAACTTTATATGGATGTGCTAGGTACATGTGCTTTGTACAGGTAATCCTCAATTTACAACCATTTGTTTAGTGATCGAAGTTATAACAGCACTGAAAAAAGTGACTTATGACTGTTTTTCACACATAAAATTATTGTATGATCTCATGATCAAACTTGGGGCACTTGGCAACTGGCTAAATTTATGACAGTTACACTGTCCGAAGGTCATGGAATCACCATTTGTAATCTTTTCAGCTAGCTTCTGACAAGCAAAGTCAATGGAGAATTCATTTAACAGCCATATGATTCATTTAACAACCGCAGTGATTCAGTTAACTGTGTCAGAAAAACTCATAAAATGTGGCAAAACTCACTTAATAACTACCTTGTTTAGCAATGGAAATTTTGGTCTTGAGTGTAGTTATAAATTGAAGACTAATCTGTATACCCTTAAAGAAGTTCCCCTTATGTGAATAATGATATATTTTAATATGTTCATGTAGATCAACATTTCTGTAAGTATACCAGTACTCTTAGGTAAAAAGAGATTAATTAATTTATTGTAATGTAATGTAATGCTTGGATTTGACATTTGGTTTATTTTGCAAGCAGTTTGAGCATAATAACATGAAATAGTGACCTTTTTAAATATGTTTCTTGTGGCTTTGCAGACTTAGCTGTGAAACATCTTAGCAATTATAGAAATGACCTGTAATGTATCCAAATATCCACAATACATACAACTTTTTAAAGTAACTTACTATTTGGAAGCCAAATTACCAATAGCACTTTTATTGCATAAATTTATTGGGAAAGGAAGAACTGAGAATTTGTATTTTCCCCAAACATCTTTAGCATTGATAGCACACATGATATTAATTTATAAAATTAATTTACTTAACTGAGGCTGAGAAGGATGAGAATTAACTTAAAAGTTCTATGGTAAGAGTGAACAAATGTTTTCTAGAAGTGGGACAAACATTTTGAAATTTGCTTATTTTGATAGCTGAAAAAGTTGTTGAAGAGACATAATCAGATAAGTGCACTGTTGCTGCTGTTTTTTTAAAAACTTCCACCCATGACTTAATCACATAATTTAATTTCGGGGTATGTTTCTTAGAAAGAGAACTACTGTTGTACTAGAGAAATAATTACCCATAGCAACTTGAATTCTGCAACTTGAATTCAGGTTATGTCAGGCTACGAAGTTGACATCCTTGTAGAAAAAGAACACAAAACAAATAATTTTGGAGCACTTTGTCCAAAGAAGGAGCATTATACAGGAACATCATATAAGATGTTAAGTCTGCAACAGAGATGAAATCAAAGGATTTATGGAAATTGAGTTTTATTATTACTATTACTATTACTATTACTATTACTATTATTATTATTATTATTATTATTATTAAAAATACAGTATATTAGCAATTCAATAGTTAGCTGTTGAAGGTGCTTCAAAGAAGTAACGTTGAAATAGAGCTAGATAAAACGGAAAGAGACAAAATTGACTATATGAGATTATTTGTTTCACTCTGCAGAGGGAAAGAAAGGGACAGTTGCTCTTGAAATTGTAAAGCAGGCAAGAAGAGGAAAGAAGATTATGCTTCTTTACATTCCATTTAAGTACTGGTACTGTAGAGGAAGCAGTGATCCAGTGGTGAGGAGAGAGGAAGCCAGACTTATGAAAGGATAGAGAGGGCAGAAAACATAACTCGAGTGAAAGAAGTCTTGATTACATTAGAATGCAACAAAGAGGACTTGGAGTTTCTCATCATCCAGCATACAAGATGTTCTCTTTTCTAAGATAGTAGAAGATGTAATCACATTCTGTCCCCGACTGCCTGTTCTTGCCAACTATATCGTTTCAGGCAAAATGATGAATGAAAAGTAAAATGGGATTACCAGAGCAAAATTGTGATCAACTCACTCACTTGTCTATTGCTTCCTCGTATTTCTTCTGAAGGTTAAAAAGCTTATCAAAAGTTAGAGCTGATGTTTTGCATTTCACATAATCCTTTTCAAATGTTCTTGGTAGAACTATGTGACTTGGCTAAAGTCTCTGCAGTCCTGCCTCAGTAGTTTTGCATTGTATATTGTGATACAGGAAATTGAAAAGGCTATTCTTAGGAATGCTTCAAAGAGAGTTTTCATTCCAGGATATCTGACTTGTATGTATCTTTAGAGAAAAAAAACAAATTCATACTGACACACTTGGGAAATTGAATCATTTTTGTATACAGGGTACTCCTCAATTTAGGACCACAATTGAGCCCAACATTTATGTTCCTAAGTGAGACATTTCTTAAGTGAGTTTTGCCCCATTTTATAACCATAGTTGCCACAATAGTTAAGTGAATTATTGTAGTTGTTCAGTTAGTAACACGGTTGTTAAGTGAATCTGGCTTCCCCATTGACTTTGCTTGTCTGAAAAAAAGCTGATCATGTGACTCTGGCATATTGCAACCATCATAAATACGAACCAGTTGCCAAGGATCTGAATTTTGATCACATGATCAAGGGGGTGCACTTTTTTCAGTGCCACTGTAACTTTGAAAAGTCACTAAATGAACTGTTGTAAGTTGAGGACTACCTGTATAGTAATTCTTTTTTTTTTTCAAGAGAGCCTTAGGAAAGAAAATTAAACTGACAAAAAAATTAAAAACAGCTTTGACTAACCCAGAATAGTACAATATATATGAGGCTTCTCATCTAAATGAGAATTTTTTAAATGATAATATCCCATCTATTACATTGAATGTGTAAGGTCTAATTATCATTAGTACTGTGCAAAGTTATTTTGTTTCAGTAGTTTGTAAATTTCTGATTTGTAAAGTGGAACTTAAAACCAAAGACATTGAGATTAAAATACGCTTTTAGGCCAATAATTTCTAAAAATATCAATCTAAAACTACCAGATTTTCCATAAGTAATTATTATTGTTACAATGCCAGCTAATATTTAAAATAGTACTACAAGTCCTCACTACTAACAAATCACGTACTCTTCTCCAGAAGAGTAAAATTTGTCTATATGCTATTGGCAATGCCAGCAAGAAATACTGGCTGGTAAAACTGTGAATATTAGACTCAGAAAAAAAAGTTCAGATGGGTTTTAGTTGAGAATAGAATAGAATAGAATAGAATAGAATAGAATAGAATAGAATAGGAATAGAATAGAATAGAATAGAATAGAATAGAATAGAATTTTATTGGCCAAGTGTGATTGGACACACAAGAAATTTGTCTTGGTACATACGCTCTCGGTGTACATAAAAGAAAAGATTATGTTCATCTTGTCTATCAAGAGCCTTGGTAGTACAGTGGTCTAAGGCACCCTGTTATTAAGCTGGTTATTAAGACCAGCTGCCTGCAATTACTGCAGGTTCGAATCTCGCTAAGGCTCAAGGTTGACTCAGCCTTCCATCCTTTTTAAGGTAGGTAAATTGAGGACCCAGTTGTGGGGGCAATAAGCTAACTTTGTATAAATATACAAAAGGATGAAGGCTATTGCTGAGCACATTGTAAGCCATCCTGAGTCTCCGGGGAAGGGCGGCATATAAATCAAATTAAAAAAAAAAAGAATCATAAGGTACAACACATAATGATATTCATAGGGTACAAATAAGCAATCAGAAAACAATATCAATATAAATCATAAGGATACAAGCAACAAAGTTACAGTCATACAGTCATAGGTGGGAGGAGATGGGTGATAGGAATGATGAGAAGATTAATAGTAGTGCAGACTTAGTAAATAGTTTGACAGTGTTGAGGAAATTATTTGTTTAGCAGAGTGATGGCGTTTGGGAAAAACTGTTCTTGTGTCTAGTTGTTCTGGTGTGCAGTGCTCTATAGCGTCATTTTGAGGGCAGGAGTTGAAACAGTTTATGTCCAGGATACGAGGAGTCTGTAAATGTAAATCACAGCCCTCTTTTTGACTCGTGCAGTATACAGGTCCTCAATGGAAGGCAAGTTGGTAGCAGGAGTGAAATCTAAATTTTTTTGCTACCGGTTCTGTGGGTGTGGCTTAATTAGTGGGCGGGCTTGATGGTAAGGTGACTGGTTGGGCGTGGCCAAGTCAATGTCACTTCTTTGCCCTTTTTTAACCTGCAAAACACAACACAACACAACTGGCTCACCCACAATGTAAAAGCAGCTGTGCTAGGCCCAAAATGGCCCCCGCAACAAGCAGGAACCTCACACAGCCACAAGAAGCCCAAAAAAACAACTTTCACACTTTACACACACAAAATTTCACATACAGCTTTGTGAGATTTTGTCTGTTTGTGTAGTTAGAGTGAAACACTACAGAAACACACTAAATCTCAGAAAGCTGCACAAATATTATTTTATTTTAATTTATTTTTATATAAAAGCAGCTAAATTTAAAACTTCCTAAACTTTAAATGGCTAGGTCTAAAAAAAGAACAACTAAAAAACCCCCCAATTAACTATTTTTTTAAAGCTCCCATAGGGGGAAAAACTTACCCAATAGAACAGGGGTCTCCAACCTTGGCAACTTTAAGACTTGTGGACTTCAAACTCCCAGAATTCCTCAGCCAGCTTTGCTAGGAGTTGAAGTCCACAAGTCTTAAAGTTGCCAAGGTTGGAGACCCCTGCAATAGAAGGTACAAGGCAGGCAGATAGAGCTGCTCTCCGCTGAGCTTGATTGCAGACAGGGAGATTCAGTTGCTTGCTGATGCAATGGATTGCAGGTATTACAGCAAGCGAAGCAAGGCAGGCGTTGTGATCAGCAGCTAAGGTAAGCAAGCTGGAGGCTGGGGGGGGGGTGAGGGATTTTTGCTACCGGTTAGCAGGCAACTCAGCTGGGATTGTCAGAGTTTGGCTCGTCAGAGGCCATTTAAAAGAAAAAAAGCCTCTGATGATCACACGGCTCAGCTGGGCATGGGGGGTGGGGGCAGGGATTTTTGCTACTGGTTCTCCGAACTGCCCACCGGCATCGCTACCTACTCGCCCGAGCCAGTCCGAACCGGAGCATTCACCCCTGGTTGGTAGCAATTGTTTTTTCTGCAGTTCTAATTATCCTCGAAGTCTGTGTCTGTCTTGTTGGGTTGCAGAACCAAACCAGACAGTTATAGAGGTGCAGATGACAGACTCAATAATTCAATAATTCCTAATGATACTAGTTAAACATTTTTATTGCCTTTCATAACATTAGGCCACAAGAACTCAGGGAGGAATTTGGTGGCTATCAATGTGGAATAGTGACAATTCAATTAGTGCAATTTTGTGCATAAAAATGGATTTTCAAATTTGTTTAGAAATTGAGATAAGATCAAATACTTTCCAAATCAGAATTTGAGTGGTTTGCATTGAAGAGCATTAAAGCTGGAGTGATCCCATTATTAAATACGATGAGATACCAGTGGACCTGTTCTCTTGTTTCACTAAGTAGATTGAAGAGGCAAAGCTGCATCAGTTTAATACTGTATACATATTTTCATGCAGTTTCTGATAACTATCGTTTCTCACCTATCCAAATTGTGTTTCCGTATTGGTGTAAAAAACTAATTTATTTGAACATCAAGTATGAACTTATAACATTTAGTTTATAAAACAGGGTATATTACTCTCATTTTGCATTGGACATGGAAACCCAAGATTTTAATTTTTTATTGTTGAAAATTATATAGTAAGAAGTGTTCTTGCGGATGATAGTGATGATGGTGAAGCAAATGAATACAACTTGAATGACAGTTTTATAGATGATGAAGAGGAGGAAGAGTGTGATCCTACTGATGAAGATTCTGATTGGGAACCAGATTTTCAAGACAATGATGGTGAAGATATGGACATGCTTCTCAAAGAAGCACAGAATTTTGTTAAAACCAAGAAGTAACTGCATTCAAATATTTTGATAGCGTTTATAAAGCATCATTCACAATATGAAACATGTATCCCATTAGGTAATAATGTCACTTTTTAAATAGTGACTTACTTTAATTTTACTTCATAAAATTGGATTATATATGTACATTTTCAAAATGTCATGACTCCATAGCTGATAATGCTTGTGGAAAAATGTGTTAGGGAGTACATTTAAGATTGTGGGATTAAAATCACTTTTGTAGTGATAGATATGGCTTTGTGATTTAAAATGATGAATGCTTTCCTAAGCTTTGTATTAACACATTTCATTGCACATATGGATAAATAGTAACTCCATTTGGCACTAATTTGGATTTCATTTCTTTATTCTGTCAGATTGATAATAAAGCTGTAAATAGTAACTGCATTTTCTTGTAATATGCTATTTAACATTACAAGTAATATTATTTCTATTTGAAAAAAAAGTATATAAATTTATTCTGAAAGACAATTACGTTCCCAATCTCTCTTCAATATTTTAATTTCTCTGAAGCAATGTTTGAACTATTATATTCAATGGGCTGAAGCTGAAACATATCCTAATTTGATCAGCTTTACACTGCAACATCATAAAATGTCTGAATTGCACTTTGGATCTATTGTATGCGGATAATAAGTATGAATATCAAGAAAAGATTCCATCTGTTATTCTCCTGGCAAAAGCGGTAAACTCTGGCAGACAGTGTCCAAAGTGCAGTATTTTCCTAAGATGTCAGAACTGTATTGCAAGACCTTTACAGTTATGAATCTTAGCTCTAAAGAGCCGGGAGTCAGTAGCTCTTCACATCTTGTATTAAACTATAGTATGATTTGTATGGTTTTGGCACCTCATGTTGTGCAAATCTAGCATTTCTGGACTTTGTGGCTTAGAGTAAGGGGGGAATCTAGCCAGTGTTTCATGTACTGTTTCCAAGTCACAAAGAGAATACTGCAAGCTTTATTTTATTTGAGCTTTATTTTCACAGCTTTTAATAGTGGTTTTAAGAGGTATGGACAGTTTATTTTTTATTCTATTTAACTCATGGGATAAAATAAAAGAAAATATAGTTTATTCTCCCACTCCCATCCCCAATTCTAAAACACTATTAGGGTGGGGACAATTCCATTTGTATCTTTTGGAAGAATAAAAAAAAGAGAAATAACTTATACTAATATAGGAGAGGAGCAAATAAAACAACAGATGTCTCATATAGGAAGGAAGGTGTCAGAAATATAAGATGCAAAGAGGCACAATTAGAAAATTAAAGTTGCTCCAACGTAATAGAGTATGTTGCCCATTTTAATTGGCTGAGACAAATGAGGCGTTGGTCTTACTGTGAACGCCGTTTCTCCGGGGGCTGCACAGTGGGTCAGGAGTGGGATGACCCAGATGGTCTGATCAGATACTGAGTCGAGTTGATTTGGCCACGCCTCCTCACGGCTCCCTCGTCTCCAGTTAATTTGACGAAGACGGATCTGAAAGACAAGCTCAGGTAGAAGTTAACCGCAGACCGCAGGCTGGGAGGGGCTGACCCACTCCGCAGCCCCCGGAGAAACGGCGTTCACGGTAAGACCAACGCCTCTTCTCCCAGTAGGCTGCGGAGTGGGTCAGGAGTGGGACATACCCAAGCTCGTCCGCTTCACGGGTGGGAAGCCTGCGAACTCGAGGTTCCCGCAGCCAAGTGTACCTGTTGTAGGACTCTACTGCCGAAGGAGGCATCCGTTGATGCGAAGACGTCCAGGCAATAGTGCTTAAAAAACGGCATAGGAGTCGTCCAGGTGGCTGCTCTACAGATGTCTTCGAGGGAGGCTTGCGTGGCCCAAGCAGCAGTGGTAGCTGCGCTGCGCGTGGAGTATGCAGTGATGTGTCTAGGTGCAGGAAGAGCCTGCGTCTCGTAAGCCCGGGCAATACATGCCGGGATCCAATGACCAATGGTGGCCGAAGACACTTTAGAACCTAACGAGGTAGGCTGGAAAGACACTAAGAGGGCCTCGGATCGTCTGGAAGGGGCAGTCCGCGAGATGTATATCTTAATGGCTCTGCGGATGTCTAAGGTGTGCCATTTGCGTTCCAATGGGTGAGCAGGTTGTGGGCAGAAGTTAGGCAAGATAATCTCTTGCTCTCGGTGAAAACGGGAGTTCACCTTGGGCACGAAGGATGGATCCAATCTAAGGATAATTCTGTCGGGGTGAATGACGCAGAGATCAGGTCTGATGGAGAGGGCCACGATCTCAGAAATGCGCCTGGCCGAAGTAATGGCCACGAGAAATGCCACCTTAAAGGTGAGGAATTTGAGACTTGAAGAGCGTAATGGCTCGAGTGGTGGTTCAGTGAGGGCCCGTAATACACGTGGCAAGTCCCATGTAGGGTAGTGGTGTATCACGGGGGGACGAAGGTTACGAACGCCTGTCCTAGTTGGGTGTCGATAATCGCCCTGAGATGCGTTAATCGCATCTGGGGATCCAGCTGGCTCTTGGGAAGTTGACTAGGAACCCGTGGTCCTGTAGGACCTGGAGAGTCAGCTGTAGGTCGGCTTGTGCCCTTGGAAGAGATGGGTCCTGTACCAGAATATTGTCCAGGTATGCCTGGAGTCGTACCGGGACCGATTGTAGATGGGCAACCAGGGCCGCAAGGACCTTGGTGAAGCTGCGCGGGGCCGATGCCAGGCCGAATGGCAGGGCCCAGTATTGCAGGTGGCGCCCCGCGTAGCTGAACCTGAGGAAACACCGATGGGCCGGCGAGATGGGTATGTGGAGGTAGGTCTCTGAGAGGTCTATGGAGGCTAGGAAGTCTCCGGGCCAAATTCCCTCTAAGATGGATCTGAGGGTTGTTCATTTTGAACCTCCTGTAAACGAGGTGGGAGTTGAGGGACTTGAAGTCTAGAATCGCTCTCCAGACCCCAGAGCGTTTTGGTACCACAAATAGGATTGAGTAAAATCCCTGTCTCCATTGGTCGGGGGGGACCTCCTCTACCGCTTCGATATCTAGTAGATGGCGGATGGCCGTCTCCATTAGGTTGCGCTTGTGAGGGGAGTTGGAGACAGGGCATGGTACAAAGTGGTTCGGGGGGCTGGAGCGGAACTCCAGAGGGAGGCTGAATTCTATAGTGTATAGGACCCATTGGTCCGTGGTAATGAGAGCCCACCTGTCCAGAAAGAGGCTCAATCTGCCTCCTATGGGAGCGTTGAGGCGAGAGTCATTTTTGGCGGCGGGACTGGCAGCCGCCAGCTCCGCAGAAGGATTGTTTTTGCGTTCCATAATTTCGTGGTTTGTCTTGAAGGGGCCCCTATCCTGAGGGCGAAAGGAACTCGAGTAAGGACGCTGACTAGTGCCCTCTTGGGAAAAGAAGCGGGAAGGCTGCCTACGGTAGTAGGGGGTGGCTCGTCGGTCCGCCCGTCTAGTGGCAGAAGGTAGGACTTTCTTTCTGTCCTTGTCCTCGACTAGTAGAGGCTCGAGGGAGTCACCAAATAATTTAGGCCCCAAATATGGAGCTGCGGCGAGGCGCCACTTGGTCTTAATATTGGCTGGCCACTGGCACAGCCATAAGGGGCGCCAAGAGGTGACAGAAGAAGCCATCGCTCGGGATGCGTATTTGGCCGCGTTGAGTGTGGCATCGGAAGTGAATTGAGTAGCCGCAATGATTTTGTTAAGGTCCTGGTGGACCCTAATGTCTTGGGATGGCAATTGTGCCTGTAGCTGCTGAAGCCATAATAGGGAGGAACGGGTGAAGAAAGAGGCCGCGGTGGCGGCCTGAATCGCCCAGGCCAAGGCCTGGTGGGCTTTTTTGAATGACAGGTCGAACTTCCTGTCCTCAGGCTTAAGGCCTTTGGAGGAATCCCCTGTGATGTATGGAGAAGGGGACGAAAGGGCAGCTACGGGGCCATCTATGGAAGGTAGCTGCAAGATGTTGGCAAGTGCGGGATCCATATTATAATTGCGGTGGTTGGTGCTACTGGGAGTGGGTAGAGAGGCGGGGTTGGACCATTGCTTCCGAACAACGTCGAGGAACAGCTTGGGAGCCGGGACAAAAAGTTGTTCCGTTACTGGTTCCGAGAAAGGGCCCTGACCGGCTGTGGAAGTGGATGCAGATGCAGGATCAGGAGCGGGATCCAATAGACCTGAAGTAATCTTGGCTTTGTGGAGCAGGGACTTGAAGAGCCCCTGTGGGAATAAGCCGGTAAAGGCTGGAACATTAGGTAATGCGCCCTCATTGTTAGACAGGTCGGTATCTCTCCGCGGTTCATCCTCCATACACAAGTCAGCGCTGCCTCGTGAGCACAATGGAGATCGCTCACGGGACCGGTCAGGAGAGCCGGTGAGGCTGGCAGAAGGTGATACGTGGGAGAGCCTGAAGTGAAGGCTCTCTGAGGCTATTGATGCTGATCGGTGTTCCCGAATCCCTGTGGCTATGCCATGGGAGATGGCTTTGGCAATCAACTGTTGGACCGAGTCAGGTAGGTCCGCCATCTGCAAGGAATCGGAGCGCTTCGCTGCTGGTGCTGTAGAGGGATCCTGAGTGGTCACGGAGCAAGCAAAGGGATCCTCAGCCGCATGTTCAGTAGTGCGCAGAGAACCAGCATCAGGGTCGTGGTCTGATCCCTCCAGAGACAAAGCCCTGGATAGGTCAAGGTCATCCTCTGCCTCCTGCCCCGGGGACTCGGATCTGGCATTAACAGATTGAGTCTCACATTCATTGTGCCCCTTTTCTGCCTGTAAGATTTGGCGCTCCAAGGCCTTATGGCACCGTTGGAGGTCCTTCAGCTCACTTTGGGAAGGTTGAAGGGCCTTCCTGCCTGAGGCAGACTTGGACGATGCCTTGTGGCCAGGTTCTGATGTAGGAACCTTGTTGTTGACTGATTTATCTGCCATCTTGGGAGCTGAAGGCGAAGGTGCAGTGGTGATAACCTGCGCGCTGTGTGGGCAGCAGGGGACGACTGTTCCAGAAACCTGGAAGATGCCTGCACCAAGCTCTTCTATTAGAAGGAATGAGCGAAATGCCGCCTAGCGCGAGGAAACGCTGAAATAACGGTGGCTGCCGAGGAAGGGTCGCCCATAATGGCCACCCGCCAATCAAAATGCCTGATAATGGCCACCGCTGTTACCAAAATGGCCGTTCCACACGGTGGTAACGGTCGTGCTCAACAAAATGGCCGCCGCTATGAGGGAAGCTACCGCCGACGAATTAGCGCATCTGGGCCAGGGGCACCCCTTCAAATACCGTGGAAGATTGGTCAGCGCCTGTCAGCTGAGAGGCGCGGCAGCAACGTGTTGGCAGCAGGGACGACGCGGCGGCGGCAATAACAAAGGCAAGCCGCTTTCGCGCCTCAGCGCTAATCAGCTGTGCGGCGGTGGTGCAGCGGCGGCGGCGTTTTCAGCCTCAAACTGAAGTGGCCAGCATGCACAGCACAAGCAGGATAAGTAGAAAAAATTGAAGAATTGAAGAAATTCTCCAGATGAATGGAGTGAGGAAT